GCTCTGGATTCATTGGTTCACGCTCTTTCATAAGCCGTCTAAAAGCATGGTGTTACACTTTGAAACACTTTGGAGACGAGAATGTACACCACTATTTGTCGGCCCAGGCATAAACAAGACCCAAATCCGTCTGTATTTTCCCAATTAATGGTATCATTCTTGTTCGTACCATACTTGATCACACATCGAACAGTCGTCAGCACACAGTGGATCGGGTATATTTCTGGGGGCATCATTGAAAATGTCGTTTATCATCGTATGAAACAAAATAGGCGGTATCAACACACTGTGCACAGGTTTATTGTCCGGTTCGAACGTGTTTGAGAGCACGCCGAATTTTACCTGGTAGGTTCTACCATCTAGGTGCGAACTGAGGTACTGCATTAGGTGTCCCTTGAAACCAAGTTGGTGCGTCTTCGTGAGGAGGGCTGCCTTTAATGTCAGGTTACATGCGCTCTTCAAATCAACAAAAACCGATGACGTGTGTTTATGGCAGGAAAACCTCTTCCAATCTTAGGGTCCAATCAACTTGATAAGGTGATCGGAGGTACATCTTCCCGTCCAAAGTGTGCACCGAACGATTGATGCTGATGATAAGGTTATCCGACCAGCCAGCCTTCGGGTCCCCTACAGGTCAGAATGGGCCCTCCACAGGTCGGAATGGGTCATCCACAGTCAGAAATGGTTCCTCTTCAGGTCTACACAGGCTCTTTACAGACCAGATCAGATACTCCTCATACAATGAAGGGCCCCGTACGGGCCTAAAAGGGTCCTCTCCAGACCAGAATGGGCCCTCTCCAGGCCAGAACGGGCCATCTGAAGGTCAGAATGCGTTCTCTACAGACCAGAATGGGCCCTCTACAGTCAATTATGGGCCGTCCACATGTCAAAGTGGCCCTCTACGTGCTCAAAATTTCCCTCTTTTGGTTAGGGGGGCTCCTAAGTAGGTCGAGCGGAGCCCTCGACACGTCAAAACAGACTTTTACGGACTTGCATAATTTCTTTACAATTCAGAGTGGCGCATAACAAACTAGAGTGGGCTCTCCGCAGGCCCTTCAGGTTTTCAAGTTGGAGGGAGGGAGGGGGACACCGCTCCCACCTTTCAAGTGGGAGGGGGTTGCTGTCCCCGATTTCCGCGCTCTTGCCGACACCCGGACCACTGGGCCATTCTGACCGGTTTGTGGCAGGAAGGTGGGTCCGCGTCCAGGAAATCCCGACCATTCTGCAACGGTTGATTGGCAAATGGCATAGTTCAGTCGCAGGAAAATGTCATTACATGGAATTCTATGTCATGCTTAAAGATTCACCATAATTTTCCGCAGAAGTGGAATTTCTTAACGAGGTTGGTGGGGTCATTAAGCCATTGGCAGCGAGCTATGCTCAGCAAGGTCTTCATTCCATGACTCTAAAACGTTGCATAAACACTTTGTCACATTTGTTTAAGAAGCATAATCGGACACGAATTCAAATCCTGGCACGTGATGAGCCGGAAACTGCACCTCTGAATCAGAATCGCGCTTGAAGCGGGATAACGCCGTGCCTGGCACATAGTACGCCCATGGAACCAGTGGCTGACACTAGAGAGTTTCTCGGTCGTTTACCGGCCCTGACCCTGTGGGACAATCTCTGGCCGGTGGCTGACATTGAGGGTTTCTGGGACAGCTGACCAACACCAGGGTCCCCCCTGTCCGGCTTGTGCCTGAAAGCGTGTACAATTCATGTGGAAGGGGCTCATAAATACCGGCTGTGTTCACGTGTGTCGCTGGGGAAGGCATTGGGAGCCAGGACCAGTCCTCCGTCCGGACTAGACCGGTCCTGCGTCCGGACTGCTCCTCTCGCCTTTGCTCTGCATTTCTCCCCGCTCCTGCGCATTGCTCTGAGGAGCACCGTTGTCCCAGAGGAACTTCCTGCGCGTGTACCGCGGTTTTCGCGGAGCCGGCGGCTCGGACCGGCTCAGCCGGACCCGCGCAAGGCCGAAACAAGGCGAGCCAGGCGGCTGCCGGCGCGGCTCGTGCCCGCAACCCCGACGTCCGCTGATGGTCTGCCTCGGGAATCGCGGTCGGTCGGCGAGCCCGTGGCACCCCGTTAGCCCGGGCCCGAGTCCACGAACGTTTCATCTCTGTTCTGATAGGGCACGCCCGGTGGAAGTGATCGGAGCCGGCGGATCAAAGACCAGCTGCGGATCAAACGAGCCCGATTGCTTGCCGGGCGATGCGTTGCGAATGACAACAGCATCACTGCGGCGTCCCGTCAGACGGGCTCACTGATCGGCAGCCTGAACGTGAACAGCGGCGCCCAGTTTAGAGGCGGCCTCGCCTGCCGGGGACGGCGCACGAACAAGCACAAGTGGGACTGACGAGGGAAATCGTGCCTCGTCAAGACGGCTGCAACAGCAAACCCTCGAGTTCAGACGCTTGTGTTGTGGTGAGCGCGGTGTTGTAAATGGGTGGGGATCGTGCCCGTCCGCTCAGGCTAAGCTCTTTGATGACCAGCGTCTGAGATGTACTGTGTTTCTCTGAGCTGTGGTTTTCCCATCGACGACACTTCTGGCATACGCTTTGGGACCTTGGTTTTGCACTTAATTTTTGTATATTGCGTACTGTTATTTCGTTGCATATAAAATTTACGTCTAACAATTTACATTAACACCGCTCGGGTGGAGAGTCAAATTGACCCCCCCCCTCCCCGTAGGTTTTTCAGAGTGCTTTCCGAACGGCGCGGCGTAGCCACGCCAAATTTTGTACAGCTGTAGGTAATTAAATAGCGGTTTGCTTGCTTTCAAAATTTAGATGCACCTTGTAAGGTCGCTGACCTGTGGCAGGTCAAAGTCAAGCCATGGTTTCAGCGAAGCAATTTTTAGGGAACCATTATGTCTGATGCAACAATAGAGTGTTAGACGAAGCCATGCATCTCTGATATGATTTCTTAGACCACACAACAATTAAATGAGCAAATAAAACTGACCTAAGGTCAGATATGAAAGTCCGACCAAGGTTAAAACCAACCTGTTGTATTACCCGAGAGCTTGCTGTATAGGGTAGCTTCTGGTGCTCATTTCGAATTTATTGATAGTAGGAACCGCAATTTTCATCTTCCATAGACTTCTTAAAGGTCAAAATGCGTTATTGACCTAGAATGATCCAGGTCAACATTTTGTTTTTAGTAACATACTGTCTAGCGTAATCGTTGTGGCTTATTTGAATGCAAAACTCGAGATGTCTTGCATGATTTTGGTCACCATGACCTTTAAAGGTCAAAAAAGGTCATTGACCTCAAACGAGCATGCGACCTTTTGCTTAGAAACAGTTGCCTACGTTCTGGGGCACTTCGAAGACCAACTTGGAATTTGACATTGTTTGACCTTACTTGAGCCAAAGGTCATGACCTATGAATATCAAACTTTGACCCAAGTGAGTTCACGTACAGGTCAACACACCCTGTAAATTTGGTGTATATAGCTCCGTTAGTTTCCGAGATCTCAGGGGGTCAAATTGACCCCGCACCCGAGCGAAGGGTATCTAGCCCGCCACCAGGGCGCGTGTTAACATTTAGCATACACTTCACAACTCCAATGGCACAGTCGCCGAATTCTAACGTCATTATCGTCCCAAGATGTAATTATTGCGCCGGGCGATAACGATACGTGTATCGCGCTTTTACCATGGGTTGCTTGCCGGTCAACTGATGGCATTATGTGGAGCAGTCAGTCAACTGCGTGGTCACGACAAAGAACATTACTGTATTCAGTGTGTTTGCGGTGCAGTTTTCCGAGCATTTGAGAGCAGTTGTGATATTGCCCATCATTTATTGTCTAGTGCTGCTATCATATCGCTTCACTCAATTAATGTGCGTACATTATAATGTGTGTCGTGGGCCCTTCTATTAATTTCGTACGTCCCAAATTTGTCTTCTCTTGGTCTTATTACGATGAGATAAAAAGCTATTGAGGTGTGTTGATGTAAACATTTTCGTAATGTTTGAGCCTCTGAAATGTTCAGCTGCAAAAAGCTGAACAAATTGCTGGAACACGTCTCCTGCAAGATCGCACCGATGACGACTTACGACTGAGCATCAGCACCTGGTCCCTGGGGTGGGTGCGCATGTCGACGATATCGCCTCTGTATCTCTCAGAGGGCCGCGCACGGTGTGCCGCCGCCGCCATGCTCGGTCCAGACTGCCCTCTTCGTCCCGTGTTGCCCGCGCCGACCACCCGCTACCGTAGCCCCCCCCCCCCCCCCCGGCGTGGCCCTGTTACCAACGGCTTGGTCTGAAATAGAGCCGCAGAACACCCCTGATTAACGCACAACTGCGGCGCAAGTTGGGACATTATTATGTGGAACTGCGCAACTGAACACTTCTGTGCCGGTGGGCGATGGGCGATGGGCCGTCCGGCAGGACGTGTTCTGTGCTACTTCAACTGATGATGACGTCATGATGCGCTGTCGGCCTACCGGAGTGTTGGAACCCCACCGCGTCCTTCTGAGCTCAGTCCGCACTGCTCACGGTTGCCAGCGGTACCGTGTGTGCCACGGTAATAGCTCGGTGCGTTCCGTTCCAAGTCACCAGCCGTCCTGCGCCATTTCCATGTTGAGCCCAGTCTGTCTGGATCCAGATCCGTTTCAAGTGACCAGCCGTACATTGCCATCTCCATGTTGAGCCCCGTCTGTCTGGATCCAGATCCGTGCCAAGTGACCGGCCGTGCATTGCCATCTTCATTTTGAGCCCAGCCTGTCTGGATCCAGATCCGTTCCAAGTGACCAGCCGTACACTGCCATCTTCATTTTGAGCCCAGTCTGTGTGGATCCAGATCCGTTCCAAGTGACCGGCCGTACATTGCCATCTCCATATTGAGCCCAGTCTGTCTGGATCCAGATCCGTTCCAAGTGACCAGCTGTAGATTGCCGTCTCCACGTTGAGCCCAGTCTGTCTGGCTCCAGATTCGTTCCAGGTGAGCAGCCGTACAATGTTTCCCATTCTGAGCGCGATGTATCCCATTCCAGACGGCCAGCTGTACGTGGGCACGGCGGCCGACTTCTCCGGACAGGACGCGCTGATCCTGCGGGACCGACTGCGCACCGACAAGTGGGAGACGGTCGACCTGGACGGTGGGCGCCGACTGGGCCTGGCCGGCGGCGGGCGCGCGCTGCCAGTCCGGGCATAACGCTCGGGGGGACTGCCAACTCCCGCTAATGGGGTCCGCTGATGTGTTTGTGGCAACTTTAATCGCGTCAGTGTCACAAGTCTCGGTCTTGTCTCCTGGGAAAGCCAGAGTTTTATCGTTCTTAATGGGATACGCAGTACTGTTCTAAAAAAACATTTGCTTTTATGACTTGAACCCAACGTCGCACGGGCACCCATATGTTGCCAAATGGAACATGCGAGGTCGGGTATGTGAATACTCTTGAACCCAATGGGTGTCAGCCAGCATGATGAATGCCAACAGCCAGCAATAGATGTCAGCAGAACTTTTCTCGGAACAGTTGAAAATTTCCCGCTCATTTTGTATCCAGCTTACATAACGCGATCTACTGGGCTGGGAGCATATCTCTTATGTGTAAAGTCCCGGAGCACATGACCGATATTGGGTTGTCGGAGCAATATATCTGATATGCTAGATCCCGTTGATCGACGAGATGACGATTTGAATATTTTTGCGGACACTGCATCGTCCTTGGTGACGATAGGGCTGGACGTGACATTGTTGGTGCCCATCACACAGCCACCTGACGTATCGAGGTCCATTGAAAATTAACAGCGCACTGTAATGGGTTTTGCCCAGTTTATCAGCCACTATGCGTAAACCTTGTGAAAAAGCTGTCAGCCAACTGCGAGTGGCAACAGCTTACCTCACCAGATTCCATACTGAGATACGTTTCCTCTGTTCGTCATCCGCCGAGCTGCGCCGCTCTCCTCCCTGACCCGGTCCGGCCTCCGAGGCGTGGCTGCAGCGGCGCGGCCCCGCCCCGGCCTTGGAGCCGGCCGTGCGGGGCGTGCCCGATGAGCTGTTCAGGCCGGCGCGACCGCCGTCCGCTGCGCGACCGCCGCCAGCTGCCAGGTCCCGCACGACCGGGGGCGTGGCTCCCTGTCCGGCGGCGAGCAGGGAGCCCTGTTCCTGTCCCTGTCGCGCCCGCTCGGCCCAGCTGAGACCTGACCTGACCTGACAAGATCCCACGCCGACCCCGCGGGCCCGACCCTCCCACCTTCTTCCGGCCTCCTCGGGCGCCTAAGAGCGCGGCGCGCTGAGCGCTGAGCGCTAAGTGGGGTACACTGAGCGCTGAGCGCTGAGCAGGACGCGCTGAGCGCTGAGCGCTAAGTGGGGGTACACTGAGCGCTGAGCGCTGGGCAGGGTGCGCTGAGCGCTAAGTGGGGTACTCTGAGCGCTGAGCGGGACGCGCTGAGCGCTGAGCGGGTGGGCTCACCTCACATGCTCACCGTTACCGAGTCACGGTACCTCGTGTTCGTGACGCTGCCATGCAATGGAGACATCATGAGGGAGTGTGAACACTGCGCACGACGAGGACTAGGGGGCGAGCACTGCACGCTCAGGATCTCAGAACACACCCGTGCGGCTTCCAGGGTCGGAATCGGGGCATTTTAAGCAGGGTCCAGTTTTCTCCTCTGCCTGACAGAAGAGTGCACAAACTCGGGGTGGTGGATCGACGTTGACTTAGCCTGGATCTTCGCCGCCTTTTCATCATTTGCGGAAAATTGTGTGCGTTGGAATGAGTATGTGCATTGTCAGAGTATGTGCATTGTCATGTGCATTGCCATTTCTATGGGCAGTTCCTAAAACAATGCAGCTGTTCGATGTACCGCGATATATAATCGGTCATATGGGAAATTCTTCTCACCCAAACGACTACTATGCAAGCCAAGTCGCCCAAAGTAGTGGTCATGGGTCAAAGCCGACAATAGCCGTCACGAGCATAAGGTTTTGCGAATTCAGTCAAGCAACCTTTCGTCAGAGTTATTTGCATTTATCCGCCTTGGCTCAAATTTTGCATAATTCAATGACGATTTGCATTGCCCACAGCTTGGGGGACGCAATATGTGCACCTGGCTGTTAATGATGGGTCGTCCTCACTTCCTCGGCACTCGCTGCCTGGAGGCGGAAGCCCCGGAGTTTCGCATCACACGACCGGCAGATCGCCGAAGCCATTGCATAGCATTGTTAACGTGTCCGACCGATGATGACCGGAGCTGACTATTAAACAGCTCTGTTGATAACTACCGAAATAAATCCCCAGGGTTAGAATCAAACCTGATGTGCAAAAACGTATCGTGTCCTCACGTCGGAACTGTGCTCGGCATCGCTGCGCAAGCAGTTTGTTGATGTTGCCTGCTCCAATAGGGTGACGAAGCTATTCGTTTAAGGAGCTATTTACGTGAATATCACAAATGAAATGATTGCTCAGACTATCGTCTTCATCTGGTGTGTTGGCGCCAAGACACCAGACGAGGACGACAGTTCCATCTTCATTCTATCCGCAATGTTGCTGCTCGCGTACGTCAGGATCCGCACCGTGTCCCGTATTTCATAAGCTGTCTGTCCGTGTTTCAGATCCACATTTCGTCAACTCATTTGCCCTGGGCGAGCACGTGTATTTCTTTCTGCGTGAAAAAGCGGTGGAGCACATCAACTGTGGAAAGGTGAGGGCCGTCAAGTGGCTGGATTTCACTTCTCCTTTAGATTTGTCAGCTCTCTCCATTTTGTTCGCTTCTTGTTAATCGCTTCAATTGCATTGCCTTTCCCTTTCATAATCTCTTCGCTGCCTTTGGTGATTAAATTCATTTCGCTGCCGCTCGTGCGAGTTATTAAAGGTCGTAGCTGGTGTCATTCACTTTGGTCGCTCGGAGATTCGTTTTAGCGGCACTCGGAACGCGTTTTTTTAATTACCACAATCTTTGAGTAATGTGTTAATGAAAGCAAGAACGAGTGACAAATCCTCACCAATTGCAACGTTATCCACACCATATTTCCAGCCCAATGCTGATAGCAAAGCTCTGTTCTCTTGAGCGATGACATGAACTTGAATCCTGCAGGATTATGTCTCAAGGACTCATTGCCGAAAGGTGCGGATGTTTAAATAATTGTCCAATTTCTCAAATGGCTTCACAAAACGACGTTGTATCAAGGCGTGGCTCGATGAGGCAGCTCTCAATTTTGGAATGCCGTGCTTTCCGTTAAACGCAGCTCACCGTCGATTTGACAAGCATCCGGAAAGCAATCTGGACCTCTGTATGGCTCGGCAAAGTTTACCAGTCAATTCAAGCCATTCCGCGAGCTGGCTAATTCGTCATCTGGCGCTGCATCACAGCCGCCGCCAGCCGGTGGGCCGGGCGCCACGTGACCTCAAGCAGTCGGCGCCCCGAAAAAAACAACAGCCAGCCGGCGCACCCCGTCCAGACGCGTCACGAGACCAGTGACGTCATGGGCGCGGGTGCGCTCCCCCTCGGTCAAAGTCACCGGTCCGTAACTGTCCCGAGCCATTTTCATCTCCGAGTGACATCCTGAACCAGCTGCGGCGCTCATGACGGCCCCGATCCGGCCCCGCGCAGCGCGCCCCCACCCCTGCCGGAGTCAATTTCGGCTCCCCGCCGGGTCATTTGTCCAACTTTAACTTGCGCCGTGGCTTCCGGCAATCAAACGACCTCCTCGCCTGCCTCCCCTGTCTGGTGCGGCCCGGTTTGGCGGCGGCGCCCCGGGCGCTCGTCCCGGGAGTGATGGGGAGGAGCTGCCGGTGACGATGGCGGGGTCAGGCTGATGCTCTCCGTCCCTGCGGCGTCAGTAGTTGTGGTTGACGGTGGCGGGGTTAGGCTGATGCTCTCCCGTCCCTGCGATGTCGGTAGTTGTCGGGTGAACTCGGGAGCAGCCGGTGGCGATGGCGGGGTCAGGCTGATGCTCCCCCGTCCCTGCGATGTGGGTAGTTGTCGGGTTAACTCGGGAGCTGCCGGTGACGATGGCGGGGTCAGGATGACGCTCCATCGTCCCTGCGATGTGGGTAGTTGTCGGGTGAACTCGGGAGCTGCCGATGACGATGGCGGGGTCAGGCTGATGCTCTCCCGTCCATGCGATGTGGGTAGTTGTCGGGTGAACTCGGGAGCGGCCGGTGACGATGGCGGGGTCAGGCTGATGCTCCCCGTCCCTGCGGTGTCGGTAGTTGTCGGGTAAACTCGGGAGCGGCCGGTGATGATGGCGGGGTCAGGCTGATGCTCTCCCGTCCCCGCAATGTCGGTAGTTGTCGGGCGAACTCGGGAGCTGCCGGTGACGATGGCGGGGTCAGGCTGATGCTCTCCGTCCCTGCGGTGTCGATAGTTGTCGGGTGAACTCGGGGTCGATTTGTGCTCAGCAGGTTCCATGGGTCCGCTCACAGCGTCTCTGTGCAGTGTTAAAGCCTACTGCACTCTAAACTCCCCTGTATTGCAGACTGCGCGCTCCCTGTAAGCTGACTTCACTCTACAACTGCATGGACTGCTGAAAGCTCTCCCTCCCCCGTGCCGTTCACCGCTCACCCGACCGTGGCCACGCTCCGTTTCAGCGGGTGTACTCGCGCGTGGCGCGCGTGTGCCGCCAGGACAGCGGCGGACCGAACCGGTTCAAGCACGCCTGGACGTCTTACGTCAAGACTCGTCTGAACTGCTCGGTGGGCGGCGACTTCCCCTTCTACTTCGACGAGATCCGTGAGTGTCACCCGCGGACGCCGGCTTGGTTCTCTTAGCCTTCAGCCTGTCTTGGGACCCCCCAGAAAGTGGTGACATGTGTAGGAAAGAAACGCATTATAGTAATGCGACAGCTCCTACCCATGTCAGCGCATCACTCTGCCTACCGCCTAACTTCCCTGACTGACCTTAGTTGCCGCCTTCGCCGCCTCGCCACTGACGCCGTGTGACCCGCCCGCGCCCCCTCCTCCAGAGGCCGTCTCGGACGTCGTGCAGAGCAGCTACGGCGGGGACCAGAACCGCTTCGTGTACGGCGTGTTCAGCACGGCGCCGAACGCCATCGGCGGCTCGGCGGTCTGCGCGTTCCGGCTGCAGAGCGTGCTGGACGCGTTCGCCGGCCCGTTCAAAGAGCGCGCCTCGCTCAACTCCAACTGGCTGCCTGTGCCGGCCAGCAGGGTGAGACGACTGTGCGGCGGACGGGGCGCTGCACGCTCGCCAGTAGCCCTGCACTCGTGGCTAGATGCTTCTCTCTGCATCAGTGTTGGGCCGATCTTATTTCGACCCCCACAGATTCCAATAATTTTGACGCGACGTTGGAAGCTAGAATGTTAAGCACAGTTGAGTGTCGTGCCGATCAGCTGTGCAGTTCAGTGCGAGTTGGCGCCACATGTTGGCTCCGCGAAGTACGTCGAGAACACGCCCTACTGATTTGGATCCTGACAGGGCTTTCGCGAAACACTGAGTGGCTTTGACGTGGAAGGCAGGCACCGAACTCATCTGAAATTCTACCGATTGCGATGTTCTTTATAATGTTTAATTACGCCGTACGCCTTTGTGTGCGGAGCACGACACTCAGTTCTAGCAGGAAATATCTTATAATGCGTTCAGTGATAGGCACACGCTCAAGCTGTTCTTGTAACGCCAGAATATTCCGTGTTGATCCACTTTCCAGGTTCTCTGAAAATCCCCGCCCCGAGTTCAGCAAATTGGACAAAGCACGCTGGGCCGGGTGATGAGATGTTAATGATGCGAGCGGGCGTAGGATTACTTCCCTAACGAGACTCGCAAACCCTTTGATGGATGCACAGAAGTGCAGAACCGGAGACAACATCCGGCATTTGATAATTAGGCCCTGGCACCGTTCGGCCTTGCGGCGATCGTCGTTGTGCCCTGCTGACAGGCGGTTGTTCGTCCGGTAGGTGCCGGAGCCGAGACCCGGCCAGTGCGTCAACGACTCCAAGGCGCTGCCGGACGTGACGCTGAACTTCGTGCAGGCGCACCCCCTGATGGACGAGGCGGTGGGGGCGTTCTTCGGGGGACCGATCTTGACACGGACCAGCACCAGGTCAGCGGGGCTGTCAGCGGAGTGGCGGCGTGAGATTAACACGTGCGCAGCTGTTCAGGAGTGGATGCGTGAAGGATTGCGATCAATTTGGGAAGACCTGCTGCGTCTGGTTCTTGAGGCTATGCCTACAGGCCGCCACGTATGCCTTTTGAAGATCATTGCAAGGAAGGTGTCTGTCATCCACACTTGCGTCCTCGCTCCCTTTCTGCTTCATGTTCTGCGTCTTTCTGTCATCCTCATTTGCAGCGTGTTTCCCTGACTTTCCTCCACTCCCTCTTTTTGTCATTCACCACACCCGCTCTCCTTTTTTCCGCACCGTCCAACACCGCCGAATTTCCGTATTTCGTTTCTGCATTGGCGCGACGGGACGGGGCGCGGCGCGACCGCGGCGCCGCCGCTCGCCGCTGATTGGATCGCCGGCCGCCGCCAGACGGTCATCAGCATGCCGGGCCGAGCTGCCGGCGCCGCTAAACCAATCCCAGGCCGCTGTCGCCCACCGGCTGCGGCCGCCGGACGCGCTGCAGGACCACGCTCGGATATTGCCGTCGCGGCCGACTCGGCGTCCGTCGCACGCGCCCGGCCGGCCGACGGCTGCCGCTCTCACGCCGCGTCGGGCCAAGGTCACGCCGTGTCCGGGCCCGGCGTCGGCTCCCTGAATCGCCGGGCCGGGCCGCGTCGCCGCGCGCCCTGGGTCGCCATGCCGCCTGTAAGCATTGCGGGGCGGGGGCCGGGTTTGAGCGGCGCCCCTTGTTTCAGGTACCGGTTTTCGGCGGTGGCCGTGGACCCGCGTGTGAGGACGCTAGGCGGAGGCGCAGCCGGCCACCACGTGGACGTCATCTTCGTCGGTACAGGTGAGGGATAGTCGGCCAGTCAACGGTAATGCCTGTGTCTCTCTGATGCGTGTTGAGAGGAGGTGGTTGGTTGATGTGTGCTATTGCAATATAACGAAAAGTGGGTGTTTTATGGTCCTGGATATGATCCGCGTTCCGCAGATATGTTACAGACGTTTATATCCCTGGGGTCATTCATTTGAGCTCAACAGACATAAAGATAGACGATCCTGTAGCTGGAGCGTATTGACTGTGTTTAGTGAAATTGGTGGGCCGGTGTAATTCATGATGCTTCGATGCCTTTATACACTAACTTAGGTTCCCTTGTATCTTCGAGCTTATCACATTGAGTTGACTATCTTCCTCATATGAACGGTGAAGGCAATGGCCACTCATCGTTCGATGTTGTTTTGTCCTCTGGACGTTTGACCCCTGCTTGTGAGCTGCTCTTTTAAACTTTGGAGTTGAATGGGAGTCTTCCCGCCATTTCATTTCCCGCCCTTGGGTCTCTAGGATCGTGATTGATTAATTGTTTTGCAGCGAGGAGCAACGACTGCTGTTCAGCATTGACCTGTATTCTCCAAGATCTGCCCTCGCAGGACATGTGGACACGAAGCTCAGACTGAGTTGTAATCTGCCCCTAACACGACTCCACACGAGCCACATTCTTCCCAGCTGCCCCCGTTTACAGTGTAGTGACGTCCCCCAGAGTTGTGCTGCCAGTGGCGGCGCCCGTCGGCCAGTGACGGTGTGCTGTCGACTGCTGACCTGTGATCAGCGGGTTGACACCAGTGTCGGTGTGCTGTCGACTGCTGACTTGTGATCAGCGGGTTGGCAAGCCACTGGTTACGTTCCGTCGGTGCCTGGGAGAAGAGGTCTGCAAATCACTTTCTTTGAATGCATTGTGTGGCGACACTCAGAGACTGAGCGTCGTATGCGCCCGACAATTTCTACACTCGAATTCGGGGACCGTAACATGCCACGGTTGAATAGTCACGATATTTCCGAGGTTGTATGGAACTTCGATGCGAAAAGTTATGCGCGACACCCGCGCAGCAGTTTCCTATGTCATTTGGGACTTAAAACTCGGCAGATAGTCCTTCAGCCTCGTGCCATTATCTAAATTGGACATTATCGTAATGGCAATGCCACGTGGCTGATTTTATGAAATGACTTCGTTTCTGTTCAGTCTGAAACTTCATATGGATCCTCAGATCCGCATTCGTGTGCCTCAGGTTGCCAGCATGTCTAACGCTTTAATAAGACATTGTCATTGCGTTCCTGTCCTTGCCACGGGTTTCGAGTTCCTGCCATCACATCGAAAGCCTTTTGTAGCCAGCATCCGCGCCCAGTAGCTTCAGCAAATACTTTGATGGTTCTCAAGCGCAGAATACAGCTCTCCGCAACACCAGAAGCGGCCACGGTAACTCCCCGTTGGAAACCGGTGTTCCCCCTCTGCCGCCCACTCTGCGACCGGGCGCCGCCGGCTGCGGCGGCCGCTGAAAGCTCAGCCACCTAATTGGTTCAGTAAATAGCTTCGGTTCTCGGAAGTTGGCCCGGAGCAGTGGCGACGAGGCGGCTCGCGGAGCGCCCGGCGGTGCGCGCCCCGTGCCGCCGGGGACCGGCGCTGGCTGACGACCCCTAGGAATGCGTCGAGCGGGGCCGCAGTTCGACCTCTGGATGGCGGGACGGGGCTGGTCAGTCGGTCACGGCAGCCGGCTGACGACCAAGGGCAGGGTGCTGGGCGGTCACTGGGGTGGAATGGTAGCGGACTGGGTCTGCCCGCGTCGGGCTGAAGGAAATGCGTGATTGCTCATCGACGTTTCGCTCCAAATGCACGCAAGCGCTGAGGCTTATCTTAATTTTCCGTGATAACCATTGCAGATGCGGCATATGTAAATGGATGAGACGACAATGGAGTAACTTCAGACCCCAAACCAGCTAACGTTCGACACTGTCAGGGCGGAGCGATTCCAGCCCGCCATGCTCAAAGCATGCCGCCGTCTGAGCGACCGGACGAGGGACGGCTCGTGTCCAACGTCTCCGCCGTCTGAGCGGCCGGACGAGGGACGGCTTGTGTCCAACGTCTCCGCCGTCTGAGCGGCCGGACGAGGGACGGCTCACGTCCAACGTCTCCGCCGTCTGAGCGGCCGGACGAGGGACGGCTCGTGTCCAACGTCTCCGCCGTCTGAGCGGCCGGACGAGGGACGGCTCATGTCCAACGTCTCCGCCGTCTGAGCGGCCGGACGAGGGACGGCTCACGTCCAACGTCTCCGCCGTCTGAGCGGCCGGACGAGGGACGGCTCGTGTCCAACGTCTCCGCCGTCTGAGCGGCCGGACGAGGGACGGCTTGTGTCCAACGTCTCCGCCGTCTGAGCGGCCGGACGAGGGACGGCTCACGTCCAACGTCTCCGCCGTCTGAGCGGCCGGACGAGGGACGGCTCGTGTCCAACGTCTCCGCCGTCTGAGCGGCCGGACGAGGGACGGCTCATGTCCAACGTCTCCGCCGTCTGAGCGGCCGGACGAGGGACGGCTCACGTCTAACGTCTCCGCTGTCTGAGCGGCCGGACGAGGGACGGCTTGTGTCCAACGTCTCCGCCGTCTGAGCGGCCGGACGAGGGACGGCTCGTGTCCAACGTCTCCGCCGTCTGAGCGGCCGGACGAGGGACGGCTTGTGTCCAACGTGACGTGACGTCTCCGCCTCCGTTTCAGACAACGGCCGCGTGATCAAGGCGTTCAACAGCGACCAGCGCAGGGCCTCGCCGGTGGTGATTGAGGAGATCCAGGCGTTCCCCACCACGGACCCTGTGCGAGGGTGAGGCTCACGGCGCGGCTGGGGGTGGGGTGGAAGGGGGGGGGGGGAGATTGGGGGCGGCTGCGGGCCTCGGCGCCGGCGGACAGGTAGACCACGGCACGATGCTTAGCCCGCTGTTCGTGTCGCAGGGCTGAAGGGCGCGCGAGGGTGCTTGGGAAAGGAGGTACCAGTTCAAGGCCAAGGGAACATGCTGTAAGGATGCGGTGATTGCTTGGGATCAGGGAGTTAAACTGCAGGCATGCAGTTTGACTCCCACAATCCATATTCCTCGACATATAGTCGAGAAATATGGATTGTGGTGGTCTTTCCGAATTGTGGGCTGCGCGCTGACAAGCAAATCTATACTGAGAAATACATGCAACTTGGCTTTGTATAGAACGGCTTGGCTGCACTTCCCTTGACACAGGTGTCTCCGTAATATGAGTACGTCAGCAATAAGGCTGAAGCCAAGTTGCCATCTGCGCTGGCTGGCCTGTGGCTGTGTCTGTCACCTGCGGGAGGGTGTGACCTGCAGCGGTGTTCTCCGTCCGCAGGATACACGTGAGTCGCGCCGGCCAGCCGCGCCTGGTGGCCAGCTCCGACACGCAGGTCATCTCCATCCCCCTGGACCGCTGTCACGCCGACAAAATCACTATCTGCAGGTGAGGCTCAGATACTGCCAGAGCCTGGCATGCTGCCTCATGCTCCCTCTTTAAATCGGCGCGGAGCTGGGAGCGGAGTTAGAGATTAATGTGTTCGTCTAACCATTATCTTATTTGATGAGTTGTACGAGCCCTATCGCAAGCTCTTTATAGCGACGCTCTCAATTCTGGCTGCGAAGTGATCGGATCAGGTCGGACCGGAGCTCCGGCAGCGGATAACCAATCGGATGCCATCAGTCACACAGCCGTATCATCTAAGCGGCGATGTGGCACTTTGAGCCCTGACCCGTCCGCGCGTTGCAGCGAGTGCGTGGCGCTGCAAGACCCGTACTGTGCCTGGGACCAGCGGCGTATGCGCTGTGCAGCCGTCGGGCCCGAGTCGCACACGAGGTCGGACCTGGTGCAGAGCGTGCTGGACGGCGTGTCGCCGCGATGTCCCCAACGTGAGTGCCGGCCGAGGTCCGATCGCCGGGGCCGAGGTCAGCAAAGACGGCTGACAGCTGACCTCCACGGCTGGGCTGGGCTGGGCACGGCCGTCAGCAGCTGCGTCGTCGAAACCGGAGGACTCTTACGGGAGGGGTCTCTAGCAGCAATTGTTGCTTCCGCAGTGTCAGTCGAGTCTGCCACTTGCCTTTCGAGACGGATGGCAGATCTTACGCGTTCGTGCGTGCCTTACCATTGACATGGTTGGAGCGCTTTTATGACTTCAAGGCGCACCATCCATTTCATCAGGAAAAGGGGACTGAGCGGCACTAGTTGTAAGACGCGCGCTGGGTTTCCACTTGCGTGTCGTGCCCTGCACATCCGTGTTCAGCCACGTCCTAGCTTCAGCCAGTCATGCAGCCATGCACCCGCATCGCTCTTCTCGTCTGCTGGCGTGTCAAGATGGCACATGCTTATTTGCCCATCTCTTTCATTCAAGACCCCGGACTAGTTTGCTGTTGGTGAGCCGTCGTTCAGTGCTGCCTGGCTGCTGTCGCGCCGCTCCGCTCCGGCGGGAGAATCTGCGTGGCGCGTGCGTTGGCTGCCCTCCGCCGAGGTCGCCCGCTGAGCCTGTGTGTCGCTGGCAGGGCCGGCCCTGACGCGGGACCAGCTGGCACCGGCCCTCCGCCGAGGTCGCCCGCTGAGCGTGTGTGTCGCTGGCAGGGCCGGTCCTAACGCGGGACCAGCTGGCACCGGACCAGCGGCCCTCCGCCGAGGTCGCCCGCTGAGCGTGTGTGTCGCTGGCAGGGCCGGCTCTGACGCGGGACCAGCTGGCACCGGACCAGCGGCCCGACGACGAGTTCGGCCACGAGCAGCCCCTCTCCTTCCAGTCGGAGGCCGGCCTGGGACGCCACGACCGGCCGCGGTCCGGCTACCCGGGGCACGGCGCAGCAGGTCAGGGGTCAGCCCGGCGGTAGGTAGCAGAGTCACGGGTTACCGTAACAACAGTGAACCAACCATTGGGCTACCGCGGTCACGGCTATATCAGGTTAGATATCATTCTTGCAAGTGTTCTAACCGAGCTCCAGTTTGTCTGTATTTGAACTCTGTCAGATTGTTCGTAAGCAGGAAATGTTGTAACTTTCTGTTTTTTCGACATCATGGGTTGAAAGTTGTTGTGCTGACAGTAAGTAAACTTCAATATGCCATGACATCCACATACCTCGTAATGGTGAGGAATGCGGCAAACGCCGAGTTTGTGAGTCTAACCGTTGTTTGCCCAGCAACATTGCTTAACTAGTACCTCCTGACATAATGAAGATTTATTATTGTCAGCATAACAACTCCAACTCTCTTGGCTTACAAGAAACCACTTTCGTAATTCGTACTTGGAAATATGTCGGAGTACCGTGAACGTGGCTAGCTGTCATGGTCGATACCCGTTTTGGGTTCAATCTGTGGGCGGATGGTCCATCGGCCCGCCTGAACCGGGGACTCTGCTTGCTCAAGACTCACGTTCTGCCCTGCTCCGCATACGAGTCGGTCACGGCTCGTGTTTCTGAAGGGCTGTGTGGCCTGGATTTCTGGGAGATAGTCACATTACCTCCCCTTGGATCCGCATGGTGTCTGATTCCCGAGGACCCGTCCCTGTTAGCCGCCATTTGCTGGGCCATTCGCCCTGTAGATGATATGTGAGGGTGAGGTGACTTTGTCGGTGTCTTTTACCCAGATCGCCGCGGGTGGGAGTTCTAAAAACTGGAAGTCGCTGACTGACTGTCTATCTGACTACCGAGATAGAAAAAAATACTGGGGCAAAGAGACTGATGGCGCCAGCTGGCCAATAACCCTGCACCCCTGACCTATTCAGGTGATCGGGAGCCGACAGATGGCGCCGTGGTCTCGGCGGAGACGCTCGGCCTGGTGGTGGCCGCCACGGCCATCTCGGCACTGGCACTGGGCTTCGCGGCCGGCCACTGCTGCGCCCGCCGCTGCCGCAAGGACGACGTCAATCTGCCGTACGCTGACACCGACTACACGTACTTTGACCAGCGGCAGGCCGGCGGCACCAGGTGCGCCGCCTGCGAAGGGTTGAGGGACGTGGAGGAGCAGCGCCGGCGTTCTGTGGCCCGGCGGAAACAGCAACTATGAAACACTTCGAGCACGCTGTTACGTTCGATGGGAGAAAACAGAAAGCCCGTTTTCCTTGCCACAAGGTTTGACGATGGCCCAGGGCGGTCGGCGCGCCCTAAGGCCCAAATAATCATCTTGACGGTGGTTCCGCCGCCACTGGGAAGGAGGAGACCCTGCGAGCGGGTGCGAGACGCCTGGGATGAGAATTGGCCGCAGCATCACGCCGCAGCCCCCGTGCACACCTGATCCGTGCGCCAGCGTGCTCACCGCGCCTTCACCCGATGTGACGCGCAAGCCTACACGAGCTCTGACTCCCCTGCGGTGCGTGCCTTACGTTTGCCTCCCCCCGCCAGGCTGAACCACGACCCAGCGCTGATGGGGGAGGAGGTGACGTACTCGGAGCCCGTCCTCATCCCGACCAACAACATGGTGTCCACCCTGAAGAAGCACCAGCAGGACGCCTCCATCATTCCTCTGCAGTACACAGGTGAGCAGCACGCTGCCGGTGGTCGTGGCGCCTGGCCGATGGTGGTGACGCGGGTTCGCCTCAATCGTTTCTTTTTGTACGTGTCTGGCACATGCCTCTCAGAAGCATAATATTAAACGTACAATTAAGCACAAGCGTTCCGTCTCTCACTGTAATTGTGGCCCTGGCAGGTGCCTTGTTCAACGCAAAGTAATTCCTCAACATGAAATGCCAATAGCTAACGATGCTGGCGATTGGCTCCAAGCCGATCCATGTGTCCTCTCACAGATTGGCCCCAAGCCGATCCATGTACCCTCTCACAGATTGGCTCCAAGCCGATCCATGTGTCCTCTCACGGATTGGCTCCAAGCCGATTCATGTGTTCACTCACGGATTGGCTCGAAGCCGATCCATGTGTCCTCTCACGGATTGGCTCGAAGCCGATCCATGTGTCCTCTCACGGATTGGCTCGAAGCCGATCCATGTGTCCTCTCACGGACTGGCTCGAAGCCGATCCATGTGTCCACTCACGGATTGGCTCGAAGCCGATCCATGTGTCCTCTCACGGATTGGCTCGAAGCCGATCCATGTGTCCACTCACGGATTGGCTCGAAGCCGATCCATGTGTCCTCTCACAGATTGGCTCCAAACCGATCCGTGTCCACTCACGGACTGACTCGAAGCCGATCCGCGTCCACCCGCGGACTGGCTCGAAGCCGATCCGTGTCCACCCGCGGATTGGCCCCAAGCCGATCCATGTCCTCTCACTGATTGACCTCAAGCCGATCCATGTGTCCACTCACGGATTGGCTCCAAGCTGATCCATGTGTCCACTCGCGGACTGGAACTCCTATCCGATCCGGTGCTGACGTCATGACAACGCTGCAGAACTCCTGCCCTTTTCGACACCCCGACGTGCACCGATTGATGACGACCTACTGAAAATCTCGTGCACTGCCCTTCCCTTCGCGCTGAGGACCGGAACGGTCCGCCGCTGTCGCTGACGTCACCCTCCCCTCCCGCAGAGTGCCGGAACGGTCCGCCGCTGTGTTACGTCACCTTCCCCTCCCACAGAGGGCCGGGACGGTCCGCCACTGTCTGACGTCACCCTCCTCTCCCGCAGAGTGCTGGGACGGTCCGCCGCTGTCTGACGTCACCCTCCCCTCCCGCAGAGGGCCGGGACGGTCCTCCGCTGTCTGACGTCACCCTCCCCTCCCGCAGAGGGCCGGGACGGTCCGCCGCTGTCGCTGCCGATGCGCCACCAGCTGTCGGACGAGCGAGGTGGGCCGCCGCTCTCGCTCCGCGGTGAGCCGTACGGCACACACCGTCAGCTGCGGTCTCGCACCCTGCCCACGGCCGACCCAGGTATCACCTCTGTATCAGCCCCGAGCCGCCGACGCGCCGGCCAGGGCTGCTGGTCTGAGCGCCACCCACCCCTCGAACACCAGACAAAATCCTGGCCCCCATAACGTCCAATCTTTAGCGACCCTTGCTTTGGCCGCCATCAGAGTTGCGCCAGGCGACTGTCTGGGTGTTTGTATTTTGATATTGAACTCCTTATTTTTTTGGCAATGAACGCTGTATAATTTTAACATCGAACTTGAGTAACTGTCGATGACCATTCGTAATAGTTCAACGGAAAGCCATGTCCATGACATGTGTCGACCGGCAGACTTGCGCTCTCACGAAACGAGGGACTATTTTTGCCCAAAAGTATTCATTAAATCCGACTTTCAGGCCTAGGAGAGGAGCTGGCGCATCGGTTGAATTCCCCTGGCCACCAGGACACACCCATCAATGAAGCATACGGCACCGCGCGGAGCACCCGGCGAGTTTACCTTTGAATGCCACCACAAGATGGCAGCAGCGCAATACTTCGGCTTTTGCGATCCAGGAGCGAGGACGCAGTGCAGATGCATTGCCTGTTGTGTTTTGGTACGAAAAGACGTTTTTCTTCGCTCGGGGCGCACCGTTCCGGTAGCAATGTAGTACCGCACGCGAGAATGAGGAGACAGTCTAGTCGATAGATGATTGGCACAAACTGCCTGTGAACGGAGCGATGCCAGCGGAAAAGCTAAACTTGTAGCTTGTCAGTGCGCCCTTTACCTGATGGAGACTCCATACAGGATCGAGCCGGCCGGGCACGCTGCAGACAGCCGTTTTATAGCCGCGTGCGAGCGCGCCTCTACGGCCCACGAGAGTGCACAGGTTGTAGGCATGTATCGTCTCTGTCACGAGACCGCTAGGACCGCATTGCGCGAACGCATGCGTACATTGTATAGGGTGATTTTATATTGGCTTGTACTCGTGGTAGTCCTTCCCTTCCGGCTGAAATTCTGGTGCGAAGGGCCACTCGTCGCTATGCTGAAAATACCCTCGCCATCGTTCGTCCTGGCGCGCATTCTCTCCTCGTCCCAGCGCGGGCTTTATCCACGCGCGCCGGACGCTGACGAGCGGGGCGCGCCGAGCACAGCCGACCACCGCCCGCTATCGGAGGCGGGGTCAGGCCGGCGGCGAGCGCCAGCCCACTGAGTCGTCTGCAGGGTCCGGCTCGGGGCATGACCCGGCGGCTCGGCGCCAGGGTGAGCGCCGCGACCGGCGGTCTCCCGGCCGGCCGGCGCCAGGGTGAGCGCCGCGACCGGCGGCCTCCCGGCCGGCCGGCGCCAGGGTGAGCGCCGCGACCGGCGGCCTCCCGGCCGGCGGTACGCCGCGGCCTCCCCACCGGCGGCAGTTGCCACCGTCCCCCCCCCCTTTTCCCGGTCGGCGGAGCGGGTTTTGACCGCTCCGTCCTCCGCCGCAGCCCCCCCCCCCCCCCCTCTTCTGAGCGCCTTCCCCGGAAGTGTCTCGTGTTCGTGATCTGTGATATTGATAGGACTGGCAGTGGTGCCGCGGGGCCGCAGACAGTGCCCGCCAGTACGGGGCCGTATTTGTAACTGCAGGAGGTGGCGTTTCGTTTCGTCATGCGTTCAGGGTTAGACGTCACGGAGCGGAACAATATACAGATTGCTAGAAATCGGCGCCCGGCTTTGGCAGCGACTCTGAGAAAGCAGTGGAAGATACTATCTCATTGCCCTGACCCATGCCGAGTTATTTCAGCGTTCAAAGCCAACGGTTGACGCACGGCCCTCGACATGGACGCGAGGCAGGTCTGAAGATCCCCGTTTCGTGATCGGGCAGCACTGCAACTTAACCCATTATGAGGGATGGGACCCCGCCCAGCACCCCATCATCATATAGAGGCCGTCTCAGCAAAGTTCAGAACAAACTTAAAACTTGAAGGAAGGAGACTTAACACAACACTCCGCTTAAATAAAAGAGCCGTCCACGTAAACTTCAGATTTAACAAAGCAAACTTCAGGCTTGAGAACGTACTTCAAGCGCCAATTTGCATTTCTCCTTCCTTATCAGCCCCTGGTGGCACGGACAGCATGATCACGATATAAATGCATTTGTTACTTGCCGTGTCCATAGTCTCGGGGAAAGATGCTGGCGCGGAATCCGACGGCACTGGTTACGAGTCCCAGGGCTGGCGTATTGTTTAGTCCGACTGAAACTGAAAGATCAGCTGGCAACTGGCCAGCGAGGGTCAGCCCTGGCCCGGGGCGGCCGTACCGCAGCATTGCGCGGCACGTAAAACCCTCCGCACTCCTTTCTGGCGAAAGGCAGGAGGTAGCATTATCCGTCGTACTGGACGGCAAGACTTGGGTGGTGAGCTCAGGGCACATGCCACAAGCCATGCTTAGCAAGTACTCTGAACCCAAAGCCACCCATGCAAACCACTCGGAATAAATTTAAAAAAAACATTATCATCATAAAAGGATTGACGAAACGCGTCTACGAGCTCGTGACTAAGGTGCCACCACGTTCTCCCAGCACCCACACGGGCATTGCGTTCCCGCTGCCGCCGCGGCGCGCTTTTGTTCGCATCGCTTTTGGGAGACCGCAGCACTCTCCACGGCGATTCGTCACAGCCATCCGCCGGGTTCAGTTCAGTACGTCGGCGACGATTCCAGCCCGCTGGCCGCAGGTCCCCAGACCACTCGTCCGTTCTGGAGGTCGCTGGTCCCTGTCCACCGGCTGTCGCTCTACGCCACCGGTCCGTCACCCCGAGCCAGCAGGCTGGTGACCCCCGCGCGCGGCAACCTGCTCGCGGTGTGCGGCAGTCCGGCTGCCAGTCAGCTGGCCGACCAAGTCAGCGGGCGGTCAGCTCCGGTGTGTAGCTGGGGCGAGCTTCAGGTCTCGGCTGCGCTGGCAGTGCCGCTGCAGCACGGCGCACAGGCTGGTGTCGCGCGCCGGCCAGAGCTCGCCGGGCGGTCAGCTCCGGTGTGTAGCTGGGGCGAGCTTCAGGTCTCGGCTGCGCTGGCAGTGCCGCTGCAGCACGGCGCACAGGCTGGTGTCGCGCACCGGCCAGAACTCGCCGGGCGGTCAGCTCCGGTGTGTAGCTGGGGCGAGCTTCAGGTCTCGGCTGCGCTGGCGGTGCCGCTGCAGGACGGCGTACAGGCTGGTGCCACGGGCCGACCAGAGCTCGTCGGGCGTCTCCTGCTCCTGTTCGGCAGGCCGCGCCGCCTGGCTCGCTGTCACCTCCTGAAACACGCGGCGGCGGTCTGTCACATGCCGAGGTCAGCTGCTGACGGACGCCGGCCATTGACCGGCGGGCTGCCATCAGCGAGAGCAGCGCCACTGATTGACCGCACACAGTCAGCACGTCAGCGAAATCGTCACGCCCAGTGACCTCAGGCCTTAGCTGGCGTCGAGCTGAGTCAGAAACGGATCCAGGATTTCGTCCGGTCGGGGGCCAACGACCCCGCCAATCTCGCTCAATAGGTGGGGCTCCAGGATGCGCAGAGCGCCTGCCTTCCCAGAACTGCTTTTACTTCTAGTCACAACACTATAACTTGGCTATCTACATAGATCCGCAACATGGTCGAGCCCTTGCGAATACAAGACATTCATGGGATCCTCTTCAATTTTGCGAGCGTAACACTAACACACATAGGAGAGGTACCGCACGTCGCTTCGGCACCTTTGGACCCATAAGTCGGCGCATGCACCAAGTGGCCACGTCAAAACCCACTCGCGTCTGACATGCCGCAACACGCCGCATGTTCAACTACCAGCCAGCCTGTGTCAAGTACACAGGAGTGAAACCCCGCGCACAGGCCTCACCCACAAAACAACCACACGCCTCACGACGGTTCGGCGGGAGCCAGGAGGGCCCGACGGCGCGGGAGGAGCTTGAGAGGGCGGCGCCGCGCTGAAGTCGGCCTCACCTGCACCAGCTGGCGCGCGCTGCGGTCGCCGGCCGACGCCAGCGCCGCCTCGCGGAAGCTCGCCCAGTACGGCTCGTTGGTGATGAGGTCAAAGCGCAGCTGGTGCGCGTGCGCCGACGACTCGAGCACGCGGATGTGCACTGTCACGTGGTCCAGCAGGCTGCGGCGGACGGCAGCACGTCAGTGACACACGTGACACTGGTCAGACTGAGCGCAGTCGGCGGCGAAGAACACTGCGGGCGGCGGCCGACGGCAGCTCAGGCCGTGAGATGTTACAATGAAACAATGGAACACCCAAATGTGCTCACGCTCGTAGGTCACTACAAACGATTGCCAAACATTGATATCAGAAACGCATATTGGATAACGCTGTATAAAGAGGAACATAATAACGACCTGATGACCATAATGCACTGAACTAGAACGCACGTTTCGCGCTTTTCTGGACTAATTCAATCTATGATAAGCATAAGGTTATTCGCATTTTACTCTGAACACTGCCATTCACCGTCCCCATGCCATCACTGATCGAGACACATCGCGATAAAAATATTTGCCCTGCATTTGTCTACCAGAACATAGTCTGTTAAAGAAGAATGCTATCCAGTCGCATTACTGCACCACGGCTGGCGGGAGGCGGCCGGTTGTTACGTCGGAGAAACAGTACGGCCGATGTCGCGTTCGCCTTATTTTTGGCCTCCTTTCGCACTTGGCTACAACACCATAGCGCCCTTCGCCAGCGCTCTCCCGCACTAGCATCCGAGACCCCGCCGGGTTGCCACTCACCGGTACACCTGCTCGCCAAGCTCGGTCCGCACAGTGACGTCACTATCGTTCTGGATGACATCACCGTTCAGCCACTGGACCCGCGACTCCGACTCCCAGCTGACCTTCTCATCTCCGACCCAGGCCACCTGAGGACGAGACGGGTCAGGTCAGGCCAGGTCAGGCCAGGTCATACAACCGTCGGGTCGCGTCGAAACATAGTCAGCTGGCGGCGGCGTCTCAGCCATGGGAGTCATGTGAACCCATCACCCGACACAGAGACGACGGCCATCGAGGCTTAAAATATGGCAACAAATTAAACATGGCGAAATAAAGACTTGATATTGGAGCCTGCCAACCTCCCAACATGAGTCATACGTCGGCACTCAGAACTCCGCGCTGGGTAACAGCCAATGCAGAGCGGCAAGACTGGAGAGCAGAGCGGCAGCCCACGCCAGTCATACGTCGGGACTCAGGACTCCGCGCTGGGTAACAGCCAATGTAGAGCAGCAGGACTGGAGTGCAGAGCGGCAGCCCGCACTGGCGACGGGGCCCACCTGGCCGTCCTTCTGCTGCAGGTATACGGGGCCTCGCAGAGCGTAGGCCGGTATGTGCACGAGAAAGCCGTTCTCCCGCAGGGAGAAGATCATGGCGTCCACGAAGTTGCCCGGGTCGTCGGCCGGCCGGCGCACGAAGTACATGGTCTGGAAGAGCACCTGCGAGTCCATCTGGCAGTGCTGCGCCGCCTGGGGACACGTCAGAACCTGCGCTGAGCCGTGCGCCACACGGTAGCGGTGTGCCCGCGGGCCGCGGTCCCACGTGACAAACAACTCACCGAGCAACCGGCAGTGTTGGAAAGAGACTTACTAAGTGGCACAGCCGAAATACTTTTTAAGTACAAAGTGTAGACAGGGCCCGAATCGCGTCTCGTGTTCGAACCGTACCCGGTTTCGGTCGTTGAGGTGGTCGGCGACCTCTTGTAGCTCGGAGTCGGAGAACTGCTCGGTGGCGCCGCCTGCCGGCTGCTCAATGCTGCCCTCTGCCGCGACGGCGGCGAGCAGCAGCCGGTGCACGATGACATCGGCGTAGCGGCGGATGGGCGAGGTGAAGTGCGTGTAGCGGTCCAGCGCCAGGCCGTAGTGACCCCAGTCCTCGGGCGTCGCCGAACCTGCGGCCGGCCGGCACCCGGTGACGCTGCGCATGCAGGCTGCGGCGACGGGTCGCCAGACGGCCAGACCACGGCACACGGTCTGGGCGACGACAGCCCCGGAGATGCCCAACAAGACGGGCACACTATACATGGACTCGGCAACACAGACTCCAAACTATAAACAATACCGTCCAACCCAACACCCGGAAATAATTTAAAAAAAACACACACAAACTTAACACCAAGCTGCTGCTGGGCATGTTCTCACAACAACTCTGCAGCACAACACCCAGCACACGCAGCCCAGACCGCGACAGGCACCGCCGCCGTCGGATCCCCTGATCACCACCCACCGGTGGAGAAGTACTCGGCGTTGACCATGGCGCGCGTGGCTAGCAGCCGCAGCAGCGTGTTGACCAGCGGGTCGTGCGGGTCGACGCAGGCGTCCAGGGAGTCGGCCACCTGTCGGTTGGAGCCGACGCGGACCGTCCAGCCCTTGGTGGCGGCGCAGCGCTGCAGCGGCTCCCACTGGTCCGGCCGCGCCGCGCCGTGACGTCTGCCGGGAGGGGAGGTGTGACCCACGGCCGTGACGTCTGCCGGGAGGGGAGGTGTGACCAAAGGCCGTGACGTCTGCCGGGAGGGGAGGTGTGACCAAAGGCCGTGACGTCTGCCGGGAGGGGAGGTGTGACCCACGGCAGTGACGTCTGCCGGGAGGGGAGGTGTGACCCACGGCCGTGACGCCCACTGGGAGGGGCGATGTGACCCACGGCCGTGACGTCTGCCGGGAGGGGAGGTGTGACCAAAGGCCGTGACGTCTGCCGGGAGGGGAGGTGTGACCAAAGGCCGTGACGTCTGCCGGGAGGGGAGGTGTGACCCACGGCCGTGACGTCTGCCGGGAGGGGAGGTGTGACCCACGGCCGTGACGTCTGCCGGGAGGGGAGGTGTGACCAAAGGCCGTGACGCCTGCCGGGAGGGGAGGGGGGGGGGTGTGTGACCCACGGCCGTGACGTCTGCCGGGAGGGGAGGTGTGACCCACGGCCGTGACGTCTGCCGGGAGGGGAGGTGTGACCCACGGCAGTGACGTCTGCCGGGAGGGGAGGTGTGACCCACGGCCGTGACGCCCACTGGGAGGGGCGATGTGACCCACGGCCGTGACGCCCGCTGGGAGGGGCGATATGACCCACGGCAGTGACGTCTGCCGGGAGGGGAGGTGTGACCCACGGCCGTGACGCCCGCTGGGAGGGGCGGTGTGACCCACGACCGTGACGTCTGTGGGTAGGGACTCATCTCCAGACCGCGAGAACTGACCTGACAACTGCACGGCGTCGGCCCGTACCACGCCGCTCCAGAGCACTGAAGGCCACCGCGGCAAGACAGCGGGCACCAGCGAGGCTTAATCGCCCACCACTCTACCCGCCATCCGGACATACGAGCGTCCGTCGGCACGCCGAGGGACACACACCACTGCGCAGACGCGCAGCAAGCACTCACCTGGACCCGCCCACCCGGCATCTCGATCCCGCGAGGTATGGCCGAATGGTCCGAGCAGCGCACGACCCAGACAACGGCGCACACCCCACCTGAGCAGCGAACGACCCAGACAAAGGCGCAGACCCCACCTGAGCAGCGCACGACCCAGACAACGGCGCACACCCCACCTGAGCAGCGAACGACCCAGACAACGGCGCAGACCCCACCTGAGCAGCGAACGACACAGACAACGGCGCAGACCCCACCTGTGCAGCGAACGACACAGACACGCCGCAGACCCCACCTGAGCAGCGAACGACACAGACAACGGCGCAGACCCCACCTGAGCAGCGAACGACACAGAAAACGGCGCAGACCCCACCTGAGCAGCGCACGACCCAGACAACGGCGCAGACCCCACCTGAGCAGCGAACGACACAGACAACGCCGCAGACCCCACCTGGGCAGCGCACGACCCAGACAACACCGCAGACCCCACCTGAGCAGGGCGCGCTGCGGGAACGTCTGCGCGATCTTCTGCGCCACCCAGTGGTTGGCGAAGATCATCATCTCGGCCACAGTCTCGTGGATCTCCAGCGCCTGCTTGGGCTGGATGCGGTTGGCACCGCCCTCGTCGAACTCAAACTGCACCTGTGGGGAGACGAGGAGCCGCTGGACACACCCACTCGAGCTAGGCGCGGTCTGCCGGCCTGTTACTGGCCCGCACCGCGCGCTGGTAGGCACGTCGGACGTGGGCACGTCAGACAGATGACAGAGCATGACAGGGAGCCGGAGGAATCCAAACTCGACGGTCCTAGGACGCCAGCAGTCTAAAATTACGGAGCATCAAGCTCTTACAATGCAAGGATGACCAATAACATATAGCGAAAGCCGACCCGAGCCGACATAGACGTATGGGAGCCCCAGGCCCCATACGTCTATACGTCTTCACGGCGCATCACACATGACATGTGCGTCACGTCACGTCACGTCGGTTGCCATAGCGTAACGCGTTGGCAGGCCCAGTCCGCTGCGCTGACCTCTGATGACTCGAGCTCCAGGGCGCCCTCCTGCTGGCGGCCGTGGCGCAGGTGGTGGGTCAGCCGGGTCAGCGTCGCCAGGGCGTCCCGCAGCTCCCGGTACCTGAGGGGCCGCCGCGTCAGGCAAGACAAGACAGCTCGTTGTCAGCCGGCGGCGACGGGGGTCAGCGCACCAGCCGGCGCCCGGACGCGGTGTCCGGTGCCCAGTCCGGATACCGGACCACGGCGTCTGGTAACGAGCCCGGCGCCCGGACGCGGTGTCCGGTGCCCAGTCTGGATACCGGACCACGGTGTCTGGTAACGAGCCCGGCGCCCGGACGCGGTGTCCGGTGGCCAGTCCCGATACCGGACCACGGTGTCTAACAGTCTGGATACCGGACCACGGTGTCTGGTAACGAGCCCGGCGCCCGGACGCGGTGTCCGGTGGCCAGTCCCGATACCGGACCACGGTGTCTGGTAACAAACCCGGCGCCCGGACGCGGCGTCTACGGCCCGTCGCGCCGCGCGGCCAGCACACAGACAAGACGGGCGCGTCCGGGGCGACACCTCCAGACAGCCACGTCGCGGCTATGCAGCACTGCGAGGTGCAGGTCCGACATTTGGCCTGAGATCCGCCCTCCGCTAGTCAGCGCAGGTACATCGACTCCACTGGCTACAAAGCCCACGCCCCTTGGGGACACCCGTCAGCGAAATACGTCTGCCTCGACAACGCAACAAGAGTCCAGCCTCCATACGCCCACCCCGCTGAACCGTCCAGCAAGGTGGCCACCCTCAGTCCGATGACGCACCCACGGGACTGGCGGCGTCACCCACCTCTGCTGGAGCGTCTCGGCGTCCAGGCCACGCCACTCAGGCACGTCCGACACGAGGCGCACCGGCGGCGTGCCGTCCACCAGCCGCTGCGCCGCCTCGTAGAACATCTTGTAGCGCGAGCGGATGAGAGAGCGGCCGTACCAGACTCCGTGCACTTGGAACGAGTCCGGGTCCAGCTCCCAGATGACGCTCACGGCGTACCTGCGGACGGATGGGGCGGGGTCACGAGTAAGCGGCGGCGGCCGGGCCGCGCGCGAGGAGCAGCCCAGATGGGCGCCGTGGGATGGGGGCGGGGTCACGAGTAGAGCGGCGGCTGCCGGGCCGCGCGCGAGGAGCAGCCCAGACGGGCGCTGTGCACATTGGTGATAGCGCAGCCTGGTGTCACTCGGCGGCGCCGTCAGACTATCGAGATAGCGGACTGTCGGGAAAGGACTAGACTATAGGAAATCGTCAGGCTATCGGAACGGCAGCGGGTGGAGTGGGAGTGCAGGCGGCCACAATATCTGACATGGTCGACAGCAGGACTGCAACAGGGACCGCAGCAGCTGAGGTGCCGTCGCTAGGACGGCTGAAGACGGCTGAGGCCCAAGCTTGCTGCTAGGACGAGTGAGGTACCGTCCCAGCAGCGGGTATGAAGCCGCTGACTGCCCTGACCAGCTGTGAGCTCCAGTCTACACAGTCGACCTGTCCCCACCGCACCACACCGCAGGCCGGTCATGCCACCCAGCCCGTCCCGGCCGTCCACCAGTGCTCCCCAGCTGACCTGTCGCGGCCGCCCAGCAGCGAGCACAGGTCGCCGCTCAGCACGGCCGGCAGCATGTCGAAGCGCCGGTCGGCCAGGTAGACGGTGGTACCCCGACGGCGCGCCTCCTGGTCGGTCGCCGAGCCGGCCGCCACGAACTGCGTCACGTCGGCGATGTGCACGCCCACCTCCAGACGGCCGGACGGCAACCGTCTGCGGGCGGCGCCGGCGGTCACGCGCCCGCACCGGCGGCACACGGCGCGCGAGGGCGGCCACCAGCGCCGGGCGGGGCGACTCGAGGTGACAGCGGGGCGGCGAGCTGTGTGCGCAGACGAGGGACAGGTCCACGCGGCAAATGGCACAGCGTAATCAGCCGGGTGCGTATAAGGCTGGGCTAGCCGACGCAAGCACTACAACGGTAACGCGACACGAACAACATGCTTCCTACAGGTGCACATGAACACGGCTGACTGCATCACCGGGACTTGAAGGCGACCACGCAGCTCCGACGCCGCTGCCGTCATCAGCGACGCCGAGGTCCGACGTCGGCGGGGCTCACCTGACCGACATGGTGTCGTCCACGTCCTCGCAGCCGGGCGGGTCAACGCTGAACACGAGGTGGGTGTCCCGCAGGTCACGACGGCGGGCCACCTCGGCCGGCAACGGGCTCCAGTCGGCCGCCGACGGCATCTCCGACAGTACGGCCTGCGCGCACACACACATCGCGGCGTACAGAAAGGACAGCGAACCGGGGACGGGATGCAGCGGCGGCCATGCACCACAAGAGGTCATGCCAGAAGGCGAGGAGACACGCCACCGCCCCAGTCCCAGGACCATTCTCAAATGTGACACGAAGCGCAGCTTGGGGCATAGGAGCCTTTACAATCGGACCTGAGCCGTCGGGTCCGTGCACGGCGCGTCTTCGAACACAACACAGTCCTCTCACTGGCATCGCTGTAACCGCGCCGGCCGCGAGCGGGCCGCACCTGCGAGAACGGCCGCGGGCTGATGTCGTTCTGCGTGAGGATGACCTGGATCTCGGTCTCCAGGTCGCCGATCGGCCCCAACACCCGCACGAAGTGGCCCTGCGGGTACCGGGAGCTCACTGGCCACGAGTCGATGCGTACCACAAACCTGGAACGACACACACACGGTCAGGGGGACGGGCAGCGCCAGCTCGCTCGCGGCGGTGCGCAGCGGGAAGCCGGCGCGTAAGCCCATCCCGAACCCGTCATGCCCTTTACGTGGCTGTGAGGAGGTCCCGCGTCACATGCTAACGCACCAGACGCCAAATAAAAGAAACGTCACAGCAGAGTGCCACAAGACATGCGTAGCTTAAAAAACAGACTCGACCGTGGCGGGTCGCTTCAAACATCAAGCCTGTCCCAGCGCCGGACGGCGCACCTCTGCGTCTTCAGCGTGTCCGCCTGCCGGGTCTGGATCCGGATCTTGGGAACGCGCCGGTCAAACGGCACCACCAGGTGCCAGCCAGCCCGGCTGCTGCCGCCGCCGCCGCCCTCCTGTTCCTCGTCCTGCCGCCGACCGAGGCCGGTCAGGTCGAGGTCACGGTAGGAGGCGAAACCTCCCCAAATAGTGGCGACACAGCTGAACATCACAGCACTTCCGCAATTGTCACTTTATGCAAACATTCGCCGATGCAGGCCATCCCCAACGATTCTCGACAATCGTCAGACGCACGGTGACCACGCTTTTTACGCTAGTCATCACATCTAACATGAAATGAGACACACACCACAGCCCAAAACGGCGCACTAGCCGTCCCAAGCCCCCCCCCCCCCCTTCACTCACCAGCTGCAGGGTGGCCACGTACTCGCCCCAGCCGCGGAGCAGCACGCCCACCACGCGGCCGGTCGGCACCGGCTCGCCGGCCGACGCCGTGCCCTCGTCGCCAGTGCCGCCGCCGTCGGCCAGCCGCCCGGTGCGCGGCCGCCATTGGGCGCGCGGCAGCAGCGCCACCACCACCTCGTCTCCGTGAACGGCCCGGTTGCGGTCGGCCGCACCCTGGACCAGCACGTCCGAGAGGCTGGCGTCCCTCCGCGCGCCGGCGCTGGCGGACCGGCGGCGAGCGTCACACGCCGACGGGGTGGGCGGAGCGCTCGCAAGCATGCCCGTGTGGACAGCAGGGACAATGCAGTGGTTGTGCGGTGGGTTGTTGATGACCGAGCGTCACGGAAGGCGGGGAAAGTAATCCTGCACCACATACAAACTGATTCGTCGGCGTCTACAACGCATGTTCATATCCTTCCCTACATATCAGCAAAAGTAATACTTACAGAACGCTAATGTGGGGAGCCACACACATGCCACACACGTCGCAGCCTGAGCTATCTCCTCACCACATCAACCCTCAAGCGTGACGGCCCGGGCGGCGCCCGAGGACGCGTCCAGGCCTCGCAGCGCGGCCGACAGAGGGCGGGCCTCACCTGGCGCTCCTGACGAACGCCTCCATCTGCGGCTGGTGCTTGTTGACGGTCAGATGGCCGCGCACCATGTGACCAGAGCTGAGGCCCGACTGCAACGCCGCCGCCGGCAGGTAGTCGGTCGAGCCGGCAGAGCCGCCGCACCCCTCTGTGGCCGGGTCCGGGTGAGACGAGCGGCCGATATCCTACTCTAGGTGCGTGTTAAGGTCAGTATTCACGGTCAGCTTTCGACAAATGTCGCGACAAAACAGCACGGCAGCAGCGATACAGCATAACAAAACAACCAGCTATGCAACAAACAATCATAATGATGAGATTGAGGCTTGAGGGCGCGCCGACGGCCGGGGTCAGTTTGCGCCCAGCAACAAACAGCTGAAACATCGGGCAAACTAGCATGAGGCCAGAACATCTCCTTTGGATCTCTGATAAGGGACATTAGCCTCGACTCGCTGCGCCGACCTTCGTCCCCTGCCGCCACTCACCGCTCTCCGCGCCGGCCGAGTCCAGCATGGCCTGCACGCTGTCGAGGATGTCGCGCGCGGCGCGCAGGTTCGGCCAAAAGCCGGCCAGGTACTGGTCGGTCGTCTGCACAAACACGCCCGGCTGCCGGTGGCCGAAGCGGTGCGCGAACCCAGCGTCCCCGCACAGCACCACCACCGCCACCTGGCCGCCCAGGTGGCGGTAGTACCACACGGCCGCGTCGTACTGCAGCCTGCCGGAGCGCGGTGGCGTGACGCGTGTGGGGGTGGGCGGCACGCCAGTGTCCGGACGCCTGTCGCGGCGCACGGCGTGACACGTGTGGGGGTGGGCGACACGCCAGTGTACGGACGCCTGTCGCGGCACACGACTTGACGCGTGTGAGGGTGGGCGGTACGCCAGTTTCCGGACGCCTGTCGCGGCACACAGCTCGACGGAATGCCGTTTTGACGGTGCGGTGAGTCAGCCTCACCACCTTCAGTCGGTGGTGCTGCACGGCCACACTGATGATAATGCCACGCAATGCGGGAGGCTACGATAATGCAATCAAATGATGCATACCGTAACTGCCATTCTGCAAATGTCTCGTCAGACTTCTGTTTGGTCCAGGCCCCGGAGCTGAACTCGTTGGCGAAGAAGACGCTTTCCTTCTCCGCTGTTTTGATGATATTTCTTACTCGCCGCTGCACCTGCTTCCCGGCGGGTCCAGACACCTACAACCACACCAACATAAAGAACAACGTCACGCAGCTTCGTCTCATCAGGTTAACAGCCGAAATCTACAAACATAATGACACAAATAGTGTATGTCAAAACACCTGCCTTCAATGCAAGAATGGTGTCAATAAAATTTCAATACCACTTGGCATGCCGCCACGGACGCCGAGATGGCCAACGCAAAACCAGCCGCTGTAACAGCCGCGGAGCAACAACGCGAGAGTCGCACCTGACCGAGCGCCGTCTGCGTGAACACGATGCCGGTGATCTCAGGCAGCTGGAGCACGTCCAGGAAGTGGCGCACCACCTGGTCGGTGGGCACCAGGTAGCAGGTGGCGTGGCGGGGCAGGGTCGGGCCGGCGCCGGCCGCGCAGCCCTCGAAGCAGAGCGGACTCTGACAGGCGATGTCGTCGCGCAGGTACTGCTCGCGCACCACCTGCCACACCCGGCCGCCGCTGCGGATGTTGATGCGCCGGCTGGTGCGCAGCATCCTGGGGGGACGCCGCGGGGCGCGGGCGGCACCCGTCAGCCGGCACCATCACAGACATGTCCTAAGACCAGTGTTAAAGTCGTGCCGGTAAAGAGACACTTTGAAAGACCACAGTTCTACAGACTTGTCCCTAAATGACAGGCCGGTCCCCTAACGGTCACGTGTGACTGACCATGCCTGCGGACTTTTCTGCTATCGCCAAGAAAAAAAGCTGCAGCTCGACGAACTTACGGAAACAGCAACGTTCAGAAGGGGCCAAAATTCCCCTGCTTTCACATAAATGCCCACAAACACATTTACAGTGCAAACTTCATATTATGAAAACTGTTTCCCTCTCCTAAATCTTAGCTCAGGTACGAGACAACTCGTTGGAAAAAGCTGCATCCCTTAAAGAAAGCCACATCCCTGGAAGAAACTCGCATCGCTAGGAAAGCTGTATTCTGACCATTGCACTAATGCTTTTTCATAAAGAAAGTCACATGCTTCAATTCTATTCATTCTATCGTCTGTAAAAAAATATGTGCGCCGGATTTTCAATCCTTTTCTGTCTGGAAAAATTTGGTATGATGTGAGTGATGTGTATCATTGGGGTTTCTCTGCACAAAGTATGCATTCAATAAAAAAACACATGGTCAGGAATCATGCTTTCTGGCACCAAAAGGTCACAAATAAAGGTACAAAATGTGTACGAAAAGAGCGAAAGCGTACCACGAAACTCAGCACATGTTCTTGAACGCGTCTAACTTCTTCATGTGCACTGTACCATAGACCACCTTCCCACAAGGAGCGCCTTTATGTATGTGTGTGTAAGGGGGGGGGGAGCAAGGAAGGTAGCTGCTGCTTCAGCTTCAGCAGCTTTTCTTTGTTCATGCCTTGTGGGCGCGTTTTTTCTTCAGCCACCCCTTCGCGCTGAATGATCTTTTTGTCACATCAAGTGCATCACATGTGTTCATCATATGGCTAGTTTTGGGTATAAACCAGCTTATTGCCTTATCTGACTTTACTAACTTTGAGCACATTTGGGCACGGGCAGTCATCTGACTCCAACACCTGCCGTTTCTGGCTGCTGACACCGCTCGCGATCTTCAGCAAGTAATCAGAATCTGTCTCTACTAGCAATGAACATGGTTCGACGGCGTTCTTGACGTCTCCATACCCCCGACCTTTTTCCGCAAGATCAGCCCCTCACTCGCGGCCTGATACACAGCATCCGCTGACACTGACGGATGACCGTTCGGTATGTCTCAAGCCCACATGATGAAGTGAACTCACGGGACGCCTGCACGCCTGTGTACGCCCGTGACCACCACCCACCTTTTCTGCACAGAGCAGTTGTCCAGCCAGCTGATGATCTATTCAGCATCTCGCACAGCCTCGAGGGGCTGGACAAAGATCGGTGCAACATCTGGTGCGTCTTTTCCCTCCATCGCCTCGTGCCAGATGACCACCACTGGCCTGAGTGCTGCTACTGCCCCCCTTAAATGGGGCACCACAAAGTCAAAATAGAAGATGCACCCTTTCCATAGTAGCTGAAAAGGTAGAAATTTTCTCATTATGTCGGCTGATTATAAGATTTCACCACCGTTGTACCACTTGTCATCCTTCCCTGAAGACAGCGCACCTTTGGGTGTTCAGATATTAAAGGTGAGTGCTGAGTTTAAGCATTCCCCATATGTGCCTTCATTCATGACAGCTGCACAGCATAACTGCATATTTCTACTGCTGAAGCACTATCCTAACCAGCTTTGTGACAGCGATTGGATTGGATTAGATTGCATGGTGGCATCATGGAGGTATGGGTAGTGGGGCACTGATGGTTTGAAAGACATGATGACAAGGCAAAGCAAGCAATGCAATCTTGGTCACTCTTGTTTGCTGGCATCATATTCTCTCATTTGTTCCCAGGAGTTGGCATTCAGGAACCTGTGCTGTTCAGGACAAGCTGGTCATTCCTCAGTGCAAAATCTAAGTGTGCTAAAAACCAGTGGTCCTTTGCAAGCAGCCACTAGTTCTGAGTCCAGGGGTAAATATCAATGCTAAACAAGCCAATTTTTCCTCTATTTCCAGTTGCATTGTCTTACTCAGTTATGAATCAGTTATGCCATTTGTGCTATCAGATATTGGCATGCTGCTTTCTGCTACATTCAATTCTTGCCAGCACAGGCTCTGAAAATTATTTTGCACAATGTGATTTGCAGTGAGCTCTCACACAACAGGAGCTGCTCCAAGCAGCCATGCTTGTTTACAAAGTTGTTTGCTCCATCTACACTCACTCTTGCCAATTGTCTACTGCCAGCATCCATCATGTTGAAATGAGTCCTGCACATATCAAAGCCAATTGAAAGGTCTGTACTCCCAGTGATGCTGACGACAGAGGCGTCAGCACCAGCTGTCAGGTCAGAGTCCTTAGTGACCAAAGGGAAGCAGCTACAGGGTTGGAGCCCCAGTGACTACAAAGGTGCCAGTGCCACCTGCTGGTCAGAACACCACATGGTTAGATACATGCCAGCACCAAATGCCATGCCCAGTGGCCAGAGGGGCCAGCACCAGCTGCAGCCAGAACCAAACCAATAGCAGGTAAAAGTGCTAGCATCAGCTGCAAAATTTGAGCCCTCTTTGAAAGCTATGTAGCACATAAATACAGCATCTTAGGTGTCAAGTTTGAGTCTTCACATGTCAGCACAGTCATTTCATACAACTCATGCTGTGTTGTGCCTAGATGCACACATGGGGCTAAAAGTGATAATGGGACAATATTACAGCATGTTGCCACTAAGACACCCAGCCTGAGTAGTAGTTCCTCATCATTCCCATTCATAATATTCTCAGCTGTACACATTCCTGAGATAAAGCTTGTCTAGGGGAACAAACATCTCTGTATGCAGAAGAATTTAGCCAGAAAAGCTGCATGCTCGATTTCCATGTCATATGACTTTCAATCAGGCCAATCGTCTACAAAGCCTACCTGCTCACTTCGCCCTAGCAGGTACCAGATGTGCTGGGCACAGCGCCGCTCACAATTCCAGAACTTTTGCAGCCGGTCAAGGAGCTGGTGCGTGTTCCGTTACATCTACTTTCCACGTTAATTATCACGGAAGGGTGCAATCACCATTACTGGTATTTCAATGGTGAATTGACATAGAAAAGCGGATATACAGACCGGTGACGGACGTGTCCACTCCTACTCGTTCACTCCAAGTCAAACGTAAACACTGATGCCCTTCGTACTGCTACCAAATTAAGGAGAAACGCCTTCATCAAAAAACGCATTCAAAAGAAAAAACGCCTTCATCTCTTGTTCCGCTCTTCGTTGCAGCTTACATAAAATACATCATATATTCATACAAAAGGCATAATGCCAGAATTAAGGCAATTAAGTGTTTTGGTCTGACAAAGTAGTAAATGAGAAATGAGCAAAAGCCGTCTGATGATGATGCTATGAATAAATTGTGTACAAAATCATGGAAATACTTTGTTAAATACTAGTTTTCATTTGGCGCACGCGTATGTTCTCAGTTTTCGCGTCTAGTTCATTAAAGTGTGTTTGCACGCCAGGGTTATTCACCCGCATGGATGGAAAGGCCGCGCATGTTCGGTGCTCCGGCAGGACCGTGGATTCGTTGACCCGTACGATTTAGGGGTTAGACGTGGTTTTACTTTGAAGGCCAGGGCCTTTGCAGGGTTATGAGTGCAAATTATCACTCTTGCCGTCTGACGCGATGTATGTGCTAGTAAAGGTCGTGGTTGGAATAAAACCTACGGGCAAAACTTGAAAGGATACTTACGATGGTTTTTATGATGTGGACACTTCTGCTTCAGCGTGCCATGCTCTATATTCCCAACTATGGTCATGATTAAAGCAACAACTTATGGACAACATTGATAAATGTCTACTTATGTAGGTTTGGTAGTGGTAAGTTAACAGTTACCAAATGTCTTAGTGTGAAATGAGCCATTTCCGGTCTGCCAAAAGATTGAATTCTGTGATGAATACTTGAAGTGAAGATATGATATGATATGAAGTGAAAATAGTGTGCAAAATATGACGTGTTGTAAACTCAGTTGGGTCATGCTGAATTTTGTTAGACCAAATTCTCATTTCTTTGCTGAAATTTGTTTGCAACGGTTGTGCCTGAAATCAGCATTACTTGTTCTTGATTTTGTGAAATATTGGCTGTCAATATGCTGAAATAATTTGCAACTGTATGCCAAGCACCATACTTCAAACACTCACTGCCAGATGCCTAAAAATCATGTTGCACAGATCATGTCTGGCATAGTGCTCACATTGCAACAATTTTAGTTCATACATGCTATAAATCCTAGTACTAAGAGTTTGATGCACAGTTGCCATCAATTTCAGTGCACATACAGCCAATGTTTCAAGTCACTCAGATGTTACCAAGGTAGTTTCGGGCAAAACTGCCCAAAAACATGTTCTTATGCTATAATAAGTTGAAAAGTGGTTTAGGAATGACATAACAGCATTGCATGTTTTAAGCTACATATATCTGTGCATTCAATTTCTTTGGTCTATTTCATTTAGTGAGTGGTTTCTTAATCATGAATATTCATTCAAATGCATATTGATGCATATGAAAGTTTGGTAAGGAGAAAGAATTGGCCCCTGGTGCCCCATTGAATGTGCCCCTTGATGGACTATGATGCATGCATTTGTGCAAAATTGTAACAGGCATGCTTTTCTGCTTTTGACCTATGTGCTGTACAGGATTTGGAAAAATGTGCTACCTGTCACCTATCTACTACTCAAGCCATGTGCAGGTGTGCTTTCCATCTCTTCAGTTGTTACTCTAGGCACACTGCTGTGTATTCAGTCAGGAAGTGGGACTGCATAAGGCCTCCAGAACAAGTGCCAGTGGCATGGAGCAAGGGTTTGACAGAGTGTCCTTGTAAAACTTTGTGTCAGGAAATGAAGGTGCAAAGCCATGAGGCTGGTTCAGTATCTGCAATTGGGTTATGGCAGTAATGCAGGCTGGAAAGTATGAAGCAACAAGCTGCCAAGTTAGTGAAAACATCCATTGATAGCATGAAACTTTTATGACATAAATAGTATGAAACTCATGAAGACCTTTGGGACCGAAGGAGGAACTACTGACGTGCTCAGGTTATAGCATCCTTCAACCATGTCTGCAATGACTAAGGTTGTTCTGAAGAAGGCTGACAGCAAGATAAGTTAGCATGTGACCAGGACCTCATCCAGAAAAATTATTTCATCCTTGCTAGGTTGCCACAATGCTGTAGAAATGTCACACAGCATGTGGTGACCTCCATTATTCATGTCAAAGGGAAACTGATCACTAAACAAGTACCCTACCAGGAGAAGTTTGCCAAGAGAGCAGAACTGGCATTCCTGTTACATGCAGGCCAACCATTACCAAGTGTAATTTACTGTTTGATTGGCCCTAGTCACCAAATTTCCACAGTGACTGGGTCCTGGCCCTAAGTCCACCAGACGAGTTTGTGAGGCTTTGAATGAGCTGCATATGGTCCCAGAAAACACATCCATGAATGCTGAGTTCCATGTGGAGCTCATTGTGGAGAATGTCTTCCTCCTGGTTATGAACAGAGCATCCAGGATTCTGTCCATTTTGGACTTGCATTTAGCAGATTGCAGGTCAATGCACATCTTTGTGCAAGATGACCTGTTTTTGTTGCTCTGGCAGGGCCTAAAAGCAGTGTCAAGAGAAGTTCCCTCACTTCGATCAAAGAAGACATCATCCTAACACACCCAAGATGGAGAATGATGGAGAATTTGAATTTGAATGATAGAGAAATTGAGACATTTCTCCAGCAGGCTGTCAACAAGGATTATCCATCAACAAACCTGTGGGTCCAGAAGGTGTCCTTAAAGGCAGAATCAGACAAGGCCTCAGGGAGTACGGTTGGGGGTTTTTGGTACTCTATGACAAACTCTGCTGCTCAGGCCATAAGACTGCCTGTCTCTCACCCTGACTGGAAGGGCAGACTCTGAGAGAAATCAAACACTGCACCTCTGATTCTCCTGACATACAGCTTAACCACTACGCCATCAGTACCTTCGGTCATGCTAGACATGGCTAAGGCATGGGCCCTCTGTGATGGACTGTTTGCATTGTCTGGGTGCTGAGTGATGTCTCTACACATGTAAGAGTTCAAGAACATCACAGCAGTGGATAGCAAACTTGAAAGCTGTCAACTTTATCGTACCTTTCAAATGACATGACAACTGCGTGTACCCATGCTTCTGTGTTACTGTTTCAGATGGTGCACTTAAAGAACATAAGAGCACATGATTGATTTCATCTGAAGACATGTCTGAAAGCCTTCGAAAGACCCTCGGCTTTGATTTTGACTTTGATAAATTTGGATCGGACGATGACATGTAAGTGGTGTTTGTAACTTGTAGTGATCCACATTGCTTTTGTTGCTCTGTTGGCACATGGTCTGCGCCACATGGTCACTGGAGCTAAACATTTATGCTTATGTACTTGATCCCTCTAAATCACATATAAACCTAAAAATAATGTGACGTTCCATGCAGTCATCAAAATAGATCCACACCTAAAAGAATCTGAGATCTGAGAGAAAGAATGGTTTCTGGCATCACGCGACGAGCCCATCACGCCTCACTCGACCCCAGTCTGTTCCACCATTGGAGCATGGTCTGGCTTCCTCTCCATCTGCCCACCAGTGCAGGCCGTCACTGTGCGGGTTGCCCGGCAGTGAGGAGGCATCCGGCGCCGCGACCGCCGCCGGCATCACCGGCAGCCAGGCGCGGCCCGTCCCCGGACAGAGCTCGCCCGAGGACGAGGACCGCTTCGACTCGATGGGCGACTCGGCCGACCACGTGCTCGCCCAGTACATGGAGATGGCCAAGACGCCGCCGCGCGCCACCCGCCGTCAGAAGGAGAAGAAGGCGTACCGGTGAGCGCGACCCGGCGTGTTCACGTTTCTGACATAGCACCCAACGCATTGCCTATGGAACACTTCGGACAGACGCTCCGAAACGCTCCTCACATTGCATCCACGTGCATCACTGCCACAGTCAGGTGCTTCAGGAAGGGATGAGATATAGTTACGCCTATTCTGCTCTCAACAGAAACCAGGCCCAGGCCGCCAGCAAGCACCTGAAGGCCACACTGAAGCGCCGGTCTTCCTTGGACAAGTTCATGTCTTTGCCCGTCTTCTCCGAGAATCACGAGGAGAGCGGTAACGACTCGCTGGATTTGACGAAGGGTAAGCGCCCGGCGCGTGACCCAGCCCAGCCACCCTGCCCGCCCGTCTCATCCCTCGCCAGCGTCTTCTCTGTGGGACCTGGCGCCACGCTTGGCGTGCGGTGTCTTTTGTGCTGTCCGCCTGCATTCTGGAATGCTCGGGAATGTGCCGTAGACGTGGCATCTGTCGAGCCGAGCGAGGTGGCGGGCGCTCAGCTGATGACCCCGATGGCCTGCCGTGCTTAACCGCACCCGTTTCATGGCGCCGTTGGTTTCAGAGCCGGCTGGCGAGCCGCCGCCGGCGACCGCGCTCGATGACGGTAAGCCTCGCTGGCTCCGTTCGTGGTTTGACTGGTGCTTCAGTGGGGTCACGCTGCACGGTGATGGGTGTCGGGCGTTCCCCGAGCGGGCTGGGGGAGGGCGCTTACGCCGTGCCGTGCCCGACCCGCCGGTGTCGCGGTGACTGGTGCGCGGGGCATGCCCTTCCTCTGTCTGGACATAGACTGGCAGTGAGGCACCAATGCCTGTGAACATGCCTTTCCACCAGAACTTGTTTGGCCGACACCCGACGCCCTACAACTTAGCTGTCATGCACCGTGGATACTTTCCTGGGATGCTCGTCTGGCCTTATCGTCAGTAATGGCTGCCGCCCTGGACATTGCGTGCCGTGCTGCTGCATGTGATCGCTGCCGTCTTCATACCGCGTCGTTCCGTAATTAACCATGCTATCAGCAGTACCACCAGCCCGCGTGAGCATGTGAGTCACGCGCCAGGAACGTTGGGTGGGTGATGACTGCACGTAAGTTTTGAGAGCTGTCCTCGAGTGCAAATACCATGTCGAACAATCCAGTCGGCGCCCGCTTGGTTATCAAACTGAAGATTACCGGCATCCATCACCAATATCCATACCGGACCATTGTCCACACCGTTAAGATTGTGGGGCACTGGGGCCAAAGTTTGGAGCGTCGCCGGACCGCGTCCACCTGGCCAGGTCCGCAGCGTCGGGACCCCGCCGTGCTGACGTGCGTGCGCGTGCGACCGCCCCGGGCGTGCGGCGGCCACCCTGTGCTGCCCGGCCCGTGGCGCAGTGCCGTCAGCGCCGGCGGCCTCCCTGTGCCACGCAGTGTCGGCGGCGGAGAACAGCCGCCAGAACCCGCGCCGCCGCCACCGGCAGCTGCACAAGGAGCGGCGTGCCGACCGCCAGCTCAAGCAACACGCCTCGGGCGAGTTCAAGTTCGTCGTAGGGGCGCCGGTGCCCGCCTCGGACGACGACATCGCCGACGACCACTGCAGCAGCATGAAGGTGAGCTGCCACGCCGCTGCTGGCGCACTGCCGCGACATATCGGAGAAACGGTCAGCGGTGGCGTCGTGTTGTACAATAAAGGCCGTGGAGCGCACGTTCTCGCGCTCAACAGCCGTGGCGGCGCGCGGAACTCGCCCTTCTCCGCCGCGCCCCTCCCCTGCACGGCAGCGCCGCCCGCCGCCGGCTGACGGGCGCGCCGCCGATATCGCCAGGTGGAAACGAGCAGTTGCTTCCTGTCGCTCTCGTCCAAGCCGGTGTGCCAGGGCCCGTCGCCGACAGCGACGCCGCGACAGCCGCGCGGCCGGCGGCGCATCTCGATCGAGGAGCTGGCCGCCGGACCAGCCGACGACGACGAGGAGGGCTCGTGCGCCACCGACCGCGCCGAGTTCCATCAGCACCTGACCAAGCTGGTCCGGTTGGGCTCCACTGAGGAGCGGCACGACCACAGGAAGGTCAGCCCCGGCCGGCCAGGTGGCTGGTGACCAAGGCTTCGTGTCTTATGCTGACCCCAAACTTAGCTCTGTCACTGCAGGAAAGCTGTGTCTGTCCACTCCCGAGTGCTGTGAATGTGTTACTCTCATGTGGCCAAGTTGCAGCATTCAGTTGGAGTATTGTCCGTGCCTATGCGCTCTTCAACCGATCACATGGTACTTCCAAACGCGCCAGAAAGGTGTTTCACGTCTAGCGCTGTGCAGTTTCATTGGCCTCCCTAGAGCATATGTCCACACTCGGACCATCCGCCCACACGTGACCTGTCCACACCCCGACCATCCGCCCATACGTCACCTGTCCACACCCGGACCATCCGCCCACACGTGACCTGTCCACACTCGGGCCATCCGCCCACACGTGACCTGTCCACACCCGGACCATCCGCCCACACGTCACCTGTCCACACCCGGACCATCCGTCTACATGTCACCTGTTTTCACTCGAACCATCCGCCCACACGTGACCTGTCCACGCCCGGACCATCCGCCCACACATGGCCTGTCCACACCCGGACCATCCGCCCATACGTCACCTGTTTTCATTCGAACCATCCGCCCACACGTGACCTGTCCACACTCGGACCATCCGCCTACACGTCACCCGTCTACGCCCGGACCATCCGCCCATACGTCACCTGTCTTCACTCGAACCATCCGCCCATACGTGACCTGTCCACACCCGGACCATCCGCCCACACGTCACCTGTCCACACTCGGACCATCCGCCCATACGTGACCTGTCCACACTCGGACCATCCGCCCACACGTGACCTGTCCACACTCGGACCATCCGCCCATACGTCACCTGTCTTCACTCGAACCATCCGCCCATACGTGACCTGTCCACACCCGGACCATCCGCCCATACGTCACCTGTCCACACTCGGACCATCCGCCCACACGTGACCTGTCCACACTCGGACCATCCGCCCACACGTGTCCCGTCCCGCCTGGACCACCAGCTGGCTACGACCGGCCGTGCGCGGGCCGCATCCACTGACGCATCCGCTGGCCGTCGCAGCGCTCGCGCGAGGACATCCGCTACCAGAACGAGCTGCAGGACGTGCTGTGGCTGGCGCTGCAGGCCTACCACAGCGGCGAGACCATGCACACCACCGACCAGACGCTGTGTCGCGAGCGTGCGCGCCTGCCCGACCTGGTGGAGCGCGTGCAGCATTTCCGGTTCCGGCCGGCCGCGGACGCGGCGCCGGCGTGCGGCGGCTGCCTGAACGTCTGGTGCCGGCCCTGTCTGGACAACCAGCGACTCGCGCTTGAGCAGGTGGCAGCGCTCATCGAGCGCATGGACGCAGCCGAGCGGCTCTACCCGTCGAGCAAGAAGCTGCGCCAGCAACAGCCGACTTTCTGCGACGCTGAGTTCCGCCGCCGGCTCAAGACGCTCTACTTGTGGCACAACCTGACCAGCCAGCTGTGGATGCGCATGCGCATCATCCGCCAGTACCTGAAGGGCATGGGTGCTGGTCATCTGCCGTGGCCGGAGCTGGTGCCCGACCCGGTGGCGGTGGCCAGTCCTAGCGACAGCATCAGCAGCGCACGCGAGCCGGCCCGGCCCGACACCGGATCTAGGTCAGAGGCCGGCGCGGCTGCCGCTGCTCGCGCTGCTGGCGTGGGAGACGGTTAGGAGTGACGCCCCTTGCAGATTTTAATGCAGTCTAGGGGAGCAACGAGCACCTCTTGATTTATGCGGTGGTTCCAGCCAGACGGGTCTGCGTTCGTTCTGCAGATGGTGACACGTTTGCGTCTTACGTAACATCTCTGCGAGGTCTTCGTCCTCTTTGGGGCAGCTCGGGCCTCCCGTTTTCGAGCCTCATCCTTTGTGTGACAGCTTTTCCTTTACCTTCTGTCCTGTTGTATGAAATCTTCATCCCCTGTGTCTGCCTAATGAGGTCATCTGTGCGACGTCTCCGTCGGCGTCACAGCCTTGCGCCGTCCGCGAGACCGTCCCCCGCTCTGTGTGACGGCCGTCTCTGGCGTGCGGTAGCAGGCCGGACGACGTGCCGGTCGTGTCGCCGCAGGACCGGCCGCCGCCGCGTGTCAAGTTCAATATCAGCGCGTCCGAGTCGTCCAGCGCCAACCCGTCCGACTCCAACAGCTCCAACACGTCCGACAGCGGGGCCGTCACCTCCAGTCGCGACGCCGGCGCCAGGTGAGAGCGGCTGCCCGGCAGGGGAGGGAGGGACGGACTGCCACGTGAAGGGGCACCGCCGGCACGGAGCGCTACCCGGCAGGGGAGGAGAGGGACGGACTGCCGCGTGAAGGGGCACCGCCGGCATGGAGCGCTACCCGGCAGGGGAGGGGAGGGACGGACTGCCGCGTGAAGGGGCACCGCCGGCACGGAGCGTTGCTGGACGACTCCCAGAAGTAACAGTAGCCGCACTTTTATGTGATGGCTATGTCAACTCATTGTCAGAACACCAACCCATTTTTGACGGCATGTTCGTAGCATGGGTGCTAATTCAATATTGATGATGTTTAGAGCATGCCAGTCATGCCCCTATTTGTGATTTTCCGTAAAGCAGCACGGTTAATTCAGTTCCCTACCAACTTTGACCTATGCAATAAGCTCATTCCCCGCCACGCCTCAAATATATCAGCCCCCGAATATCAATAATCGGTGAAGACATTCAGCCATTTCGTTGTTCTGATGCCGGTGGCCAACTCAGACCACCTGTCTCTGCCGACCAGTGACGGCGAACCCCCATTGTGCACCTTATCAGCGCTTTTCCCCATTGTGGACCATTGTGGACCTTATCAGCGTCCACTTTTCTCCGTTGGCTGCTCCACCTCTCCACTGGCTGTTCCACCTCTCCACTGACTGCTCCACCTCCTCACCGGCTGCTCCACTCATCCCCATTGATCTCAGCATCGCGCGGCCCCGGCGCCCCCAAGTCCCCACACCACCACTACCACTGTTCGACCGCGACGTTGGCTGTTGGCTGCGTCCATTGCGGTGCGCGGTGCACGGCGCGGTGCGTGACGCGCCGCCGGCTGTCGCCAGCTCGGAGCCGGACCCGGACCGGGCGCAGAAGGAGCCGCGCAGCTACCACTGGTCGGTGAGCACCGCCTCCTCCGATCTGGCCGAGAGCGACGCCGACAGCAAGACACCGTACAGGTGAGCAGCCGCGCGCTGCAGGAGCACCAGGGGCGCAGTAATCCGATCCGAACTGGTGTCATGGACGAATTTGTAGAAGCGGTGCGGGAAAGTCTTGTTTTATGCGTATGATAGTTTCGCTCACGGTGGCCATGGCTGCTCTGTGTAGGCTAGTAGGATATTTGCTTACCTGAACTGCACAGTGTCAGACCCATCGATATATTTGAGTGCTGGCGTCTCGTATTTATACAAAATTTCGTCCTTTGCTACCTGGTATGTCTTCATGCATTCCCATATTCATAACTTCCTGCCCTCTCACTTGCCAACGCCATGATGTGTTTGCTAACAGTTATTAACTGGCTCGTTAGGAGGTGCGTGGAAAAGCTCCTGAAGACCAAGGGCCTGAAGAAGACCCTCTCCAAACTCATAAATCACCTGAAGAGCGCCCTCGACCAGACGCACATGGCCCTGCTGCCGCCCGACGAGCAGAAGGTACACCAGCTGTTGCCATGCTTGGCATCCTTGACATTGCCATGGTCATAGGTCCCCTGGCTGGGGCTGCATTGTCGCATGTGTAGCGTCTGCCCATAAGCCGTCGTCCGCGGTCGTGGCTCACCCCCACTTACTCAGCTCACAGCCGTCAAACTCCGCCCCGCTTTGGTCTGTGAGCCCCACTGTCGTCAGACTGCATACTCGCCGCTATCCTACCGTGCTACACTGTCGCCCACCTCCATCCTGCTGCCGTCCAGCTGTTCACTCCCCGTCCGTCCACCGCCTTGCCGGCGTCGTCCGTCTGTGTTCCCGACTCCGCTCTGGCGGTGCGCCGCGCCGCTGCCTCATTGAGCGCGTCGCTCGCGCAGGACGGCTCTCCGTCGGGCGAGGTGTACACCAGCAGCGACGGCTCGTCACTGGGCATGGACGACCACACGGCGCTCGAGCTGCGCGAGTACGGCGAGGAGTCGGCCACGTCGCGCGAGATGAACCTGCCCTCCTTCAAACCGGTCAGTGTAGGTCGGCGCTCGTGAGGAGGTGAACCTGCACTCCTTCAAACAGGCCAGTGTGGGCCTGCGCTCGTGAGGAGGTGAACCTGCCCTCCTTCAAACGGGTCAGTGTGGGCCGGCGCTCGTGAGGAGCTGAACCTGCCCTTCTTCAAACCGGTCAGTGTGGGTCGCCGCTCGTGAGGAGGTGAACCTGCCCTCCTTCAAACGGGTCAGTGTGGGCCGGCGCTCGTGAGGAGCTGAACCTGCCCTCCTTCAAACGGGTCAGCGTGGGCCGCCGCTCGTGAGGAAGTGAACCCTTGGTCGGGTTGGTGTAGCCCGTCGGCAAGAGATAAACTGGCCTCTTTGGAACTGGTCATGATGAACCATTGCTGGTCATGCAACGAACCTGCCGTTTAAGTAGCCAGATACGTCCTGTGTGGCGTTGAGTATGCCCATGCCAAAATTGAACATTGGTACTTTGATAAGACGTTTCCATTCTTGGAGCAGATTGATGGGATGTAAAAGCGAACAAGACTGGTCTATTTCTCACAATCCTGGAATGCTGTCCCTGGAGAAGTCATGCAAATGGCATTTTCGTTACAAATTGATTCGCCTTGATATTTCACGTAGGTAGCTCCTTTCAAAGCAATACGAGTGGTGCGACCCTGCAGCTGATGTTATTTGCCCCTCGTATGTCACTGTTGCCAAATGCGAGGCGCTGGGATCGAGAGCGACGCGTCCGACCCTGAACCAGGCCCACGTGCATCCAGGTGTACACGTGGCTGAACCTGGTGCCGCTGGAGGTGACGCACGAGTGCGTCAAGATCCGGCTGCAGCAGCAGCCCAAGGAGCCTTCCGCCCTCAGCATCCGTCAGGTACGGCAGGCTTCGGCGTCCTGCGCCCTCAGCATCCGTCAGGTACGGCAGGCTTCGGCGTCCTGTGCCCTCAGCATCCGTCAGGTACGGCAGGCTTCGGCGTCCTGTGCCCTCAGCATCCGTCAGGTACGGCAGGCTTCGGCGTCCTGTGCCCTCAGCATCCGTCAGGTACGACAGGCTTCGGCGTCCTGTGCCCTCAGCATCCGTCAGGTACGGCAGGCTTCGGCGTCCTGCCCCCGTGACGTGTGTTGCTGCGCTCAGCAGCAGATCCAGCCACTCACTCGGAGCAGCCTTGATGTGGCGGCTGTGGGATAGACAAAGACCAGTTTTGGAGATCTGTCTGTAGGAGGGCATCGTTGCCACCGGGTAAGCAGACGCCGTATACGCTGACGTGTAAGATAAGCCGTGTTGTGAAACAATCCGCCTTCCAGACACGCTTTCACGGAGGTTTCGCACGGAAATTTGTAAAACAGTCATTGGACTGGCGCACTAGGCTTGGTGAATCCCTGACGCATTACATCTGCGCTCATCTCATGAGGCTGCAGCCGCGACCTTCCCCATTCGCACCACAATGGCAGCCAACGAGCACCGCTGCCGCCTCGCTCGGCAGCTCATCACCGAGTGCAAGGAGGCGCTGAAGGCGGCCGTGGTGGTGCGCCAGAGGTTCATCCGCCGCATGCGCGCCATCCGACCCACGCCCAGCAGCGAGCTCTGCATGACCAAGCTGGACCTGACGCTCGAGTCATTCGACGCCGACGTCAAGCAGATGCTGGAGGTGGGCGGCTGCCGCTCCGTCTGCGGCTGCCGGGGAGCCGGCCCAGGGGCGGCGTGGTCCGGGCCGACGGGGCTGCTGGGCAGCGCAGGGCAGTGCCGACGTCCAGCGATGCCCGCAAACATGTGACCTTCAGTCTGGCCCTTTGCTGTAATTCGCTCAGCCATGGTTGGCATCCAGCATTATTGAACACCGAAGTGGGTCCGGTTTTATATCCTTTTAAGGACACAGACAGGAAAATTGAACACTTTGCCAACACGTGTAAGTTTGCGAGCCGTTTTTATGCTTTGAAATCGTATGTCCGTTGCGAGCACGCGAGATCGCATGGTAAAAGTGAACGATTCGGCGGGGGTGAAACCTGAGCCAGCGTTTGCAGAGCACGTCCGATGAGCAGGCCAACGGCCGCGGTGTCAGGTGACGAGGTGGCCGAGTGGTTAAGGCGTTGGACTGCTAATCCAATGTGCTCTGCACGCGTGGGTTCGAATCCCATCCTCGTCGGGCGTTTTTCGAGTAAAAGTGGCCGGCAAGATGGATGAGTCAAGGCCCGTGCGGGATGTCATTACGTCGAAATGAGCTCTCACCGGTCCGGTTTCCGCCAAGGTCTCACAACACAGCCCGTTTGACTGGAAGATTGTCGGTGGCTGCTCCGTTCGCGCGTACCGCCTGTTACGCTAGTATCTTGCCACCATTATTGCCATTACGTGGCTTGCGTAACCGCGCCGGCGTCGGCAGGTCTACCTGTACTACATCAAGCGGCTGCTGCTGATGATGCAGGGCGAGATCGAGGTGTCTGCCGCGCAGAAGAACCTGCTGGAGGAGGAGTGGGCGTTCGCCAAGTGCATCTGCCCGCACATCGCCAGCGGGGAGGCGATCGCCGGCAGAAACTTCTGGTAAGGCCGGCCGCCGGCCGCCGCCGTAACTGCCCCTCGCACGCGGCAGCGGCAGCCTGACGGCCGCTTCTGGCCCAAGTCTGTGAGGAACTGGTACGCAGGGCAGCGGCGAGCCTTGTTATCAATGCGTGCTCACGCTCAACACATAGTCGGATATTTTTGGTGATGGTTCAGGTCTTCCCCAGTCCCCTATTTTCCCCTTGACTCGCGGTTGTGCTGCCGCTCATCCCGGCTTCATGGCATTAGTGCTACAACAAAAACTCCTACCGACAGGGGTGCTACAACAAAAACTCCTACCGACAGGAGTGCTACGACAAAAACTCCTGCCGACAGGAGTGCTACAACAAAAACTCCTACCGACAGGAGTGTTACGTTACTTCTTCTGTCAGAACTTTTACATGATATTAGTGTCCCGCGACAACGCTTGTGCTCGCCATAACTTCTACTGCAAACACTTATGCTATCATTACTTATACATGACACTGCTTTCACTGCAAACTCTTATACACGACGTAAGTGCCACGCGACAAAACTAATAAATTCATGCTCGTCACCACTTTTGCTCCAAGGCACATATGGTCATTACTTATACACGACCCTACTTGTGCAAATAATTATACACGACATTAGTGCTGGGCGAGCCCCCAGATCGTCCAGCGGGGCTGCGGTGCATGGAGCATGGCGGTCGACCGTGAAAGTGCGTGACGGCGTTCGACGTGCCACCTCGCGAGAGTGACATGTCTGGGGAGGGGGCGGCGGGGTGAAGCACCAGCAAGTACCCCAAACAGCAAGCCCTAGAGTGGTGAAACTGACTGGTTTTGACCTTGGTCTGACCTTCATATCCGGCTCTAGGCCAATGGAATTTGGCCATTCAATTGTTGTGTTGCCCAAGAAAGTATCAGCGATGTATGGCTTCGTCTAACACTCCGTTGTTTCATCAGATTGAGCGATTTCTTCGAAATTGATTTCGCGGAATCCATGGTCTGACTTTGACATGTCGTAGGTCAGCAACCTTACAAGATACATCCAATTTTTTGATACCTCACAATCTGCTATTCAATTGCTTATAGCCATGCAAAATTTGGCGTCGCTACGCCGCGCCATCCGGAACCCATTCCGAAAAAAACCGTCGGAGGGGGGTCTATTTGACCCCCATCTATCCGAGCGAGTGTTGAAGCTCGGCGGTTGGCCCCTCTGGTGCAGCCAAGCCTGCCGCACCGTTAACCATTTTCCTTCATCCCGTGGCTAGGAAATGACCATTTCTGTTTAAAATGGCTCTAATCCAAACAGCCAACCAACCTGAGAAATAATGTATGCTGTGCAACTTGATAACGGGGCGTTTCTCGCTCTTCGTGATCTGTCCCTCTGGACGCGCTTTCCCGTCTGTCAGTCCGGGCCAGCACGCCTCGATGCCGGCACCGATGTTTCACACCGGACCAGCACAGCTACCGCAGCAGTGCTGGTCCCGGCCACTCGGCCGCAACCAGCCGGTTGACGGCCCGAGTCCTGAGGTGCAGGTGATAACGCTTGTGTCGCACTGCACGGGGGCTCGGGTTGTCAACTGATGAAAACAACAGCGCAACGACTGCCATCTTGCTCTGGCGTCGCCGAAGATAGTGACGAACGCGACAGTGTCACCGTGTACCAACGCCGTGCCGTGATGTACCGGTGTGGTCCCGCCGCGCGCCGGTATTACGGTCCTGCAAGGGCCTTTGCCGTTTGGATGTGTGTCTGACTGTCGTGCCGTGCCATGTCGTGCTGATGTTTGGCGGCGGCCGCCGACTGACGCCCCCGCTCCCGCCAGCTTCCTGGTGAGTGACATCCTGCCGACCATCGGGGACCTGCTGGAGAACGGCATCGACACGTGTATCGCCAGCCTGCAGCGCTCCTTCAGCGTGCCCGGCGGAACCGAGGCACAGAGGAGCAGGTGCGACCCACCCGCCCCCTCCTTCCCCCGTGGACGGGTGGGCGTTGGAAGCGGTGTCACGTTGCTTGGAGTGATGTGGACTGAAAAACAGTATTCGTGCGTATGTTAGCGAAATATTCACGATTGCACGTTGGGGTCACGAACTGCTCGTATCACAGGGTACTGTCTGTCCTTGTCCTAGCTTACTGTACTAATTCCATGGGCGCAGTGGCCTACGGACACTTTTCTACGGCGCTCCACGGCATTCATGTGCCCGGTGTACCGGGCACATGGACCGGAGCCGATCTGCCGCACGGCTCGGCGGGTGCTCGCCGTCGTGCTGACGCGCGTCCGTGTGTCCCGCGGCCCGGCAGGCTGTCGACGCTGAGCACGCTGCGCGAGTTCCGCGGCCTCTTCCAGGAGGCGCAGGATCGCGCGCTCAAGGTGCTGCTGTTCGCCAAGCTGCTGCGCCGCGACCTGGAGATCGCCGCCGAGTTCTCCATCCGCAGCACGTCGGCCGGCATCCTGGCGCGGCTGGCGGCCACCGGGCACGTGCGCGTCATCGCGCCGCACAGCCAGAACCACGTCATCTTCATACCGGGTACGGCGGCCGTCGCCCTGGTCAGTGCAGGGGCGGCGCTGACCTTGGCGCCGGTGGGTGGGGGAGGGGGCGGGGTCATGTGGTTGTTAATCAGTCAACGTAGGATACTGGAGCTATGTTGGATAGGACGTTAGATTTATGTTGATTAGTTCATTAGCATTGATATGAATTGTTCGAATAGTTCGAAATTGTGTAACTTTAGCATGTGGTGAAGTTGAATACTAAGATATCAGCATCAGTGAAGATGTCATATTCTATACCTATGAATTATTTTACTTCGCAACGGATACATTTCTACACTTTGCCTCATTGATATCAGCTGGAGATTGGTCCTAGTATGGCTTGAGGGAGCGCGTCTCATGGCCTGTGTTACCGAGAGCAGCGCGGTCGACGTCCTCTGCATGTCAGCGGCGGGGAAGTCCCGACAGTGTGTGACGTCACTCGGCACCTTGCGACGGCTGGGAAGTCCCGACAATGTGTGACGTCGCCCAGCGCCGTGCGACGCTTCAGCGCGCCGGCTCGGTGTCCGCGTCGGCAGGCAGCATCCGCATGGACCGGGCGTACGTGTGGCAGCTGCTGGACATGACGCTGAGCCGCCAGGACTCGCGCAAGCCCGCCGAGGTCGGCTACCTGGTGCTCATGGCCTGCCACGACTGCGGCGACGTCGACAGCGTGTGGACCGGCACCACCATCCACCTGGAGCCCACCGCCGAGACCACCATCACGCTCAGCTACGTGGAGGCGAGTGGCGGCGCGTGCGGGGCGGGAGGCCACGCTGTGGTGGCGGCCTGGGTGCTGTCCGTCGCGCCGCTTGGGGCTGTGGCCACGGCGGTGGAACACGCGTCGCTGAGCCTTCGCCGACGGCTCGTGCAGGGCGATGTTGACCAGGGGGGCTCGTCCTACTGTGCAGTTATAAATGCAGGGGTGTCGGCGTCCTCACTCGTGCGCTGATCGGGCTTGTGAGCTGGATCTTATTCAGCAGTGACAGAGCTTCCCGATGGGAAGGTGTAGGGAGAAGTGAGCGTGCCTGGAGGGGACTGGGCCAGTAGCCCATGAGCTCAGAGCCACGCCGCGTCTGGTCGGCCCGACCCGACCTGTCATGACGTCCGCCTCCTCCCGTCGCCAGGTCAAAGGTCTGCTGCTGGTGGTGAACAACGCCAGCCACCTGGCGCGCGCGCGGCGGCCGTTCCAGCGCGCCATGGGCTCGTGCCTGACGCTGGAGCGGGACGAGACGCCGCCCAACCGCGCCATCACGGACGCCCTGGACGAGCTCAAGGTACGCTTCGATTCTGGAGGGGGTGCGGCTCAGCTCAGGATGAGGGCGAGGTGCGCCACGAGCCCCGGAGGAGCTCGCAGGGGTCAGACTCTGGCGGATACAAGATCAGTGGGATGGTGCTGAAGGTACGGGCGTGGCTTTCGCTGAACTGACGATGCGGTCAGCTCACACGAGCAACAAGCTGTCGATGCTGTCGATATTGTTGGTCTGTTTCTTCATGTCGTGTATGTATATCGCCGCTTAGCCTATCACGGGTGAGACCCTCGGGCTGGTCCAGGCCCGGCCCCCTCCGCTCTTCCTACCCCCGTCCGCCTGTGGCTGACCGGCTGTCGCTCTGGCAGGAGGAGGCGCTGAAGCTGCGCAATCTGGTGGCCAACAGTGTGGCGCTGGTGGAGGAGAAGTGCTCGGCGCTGCTGGCCGACCCGCACGGCACCTCCCTGGCCGCCCGCTGTCGCGAGGTCGTCCAGCAGTGCTTCAAGTTCTCCTTCGAGGTAGGCTGGTGCGCCGCGACACGAGGGGACCCACCCCGATGTCAGCCGACGCTTTTTGCTGTCCATTCACGTGTATGTTTTGCTCGTTTCTAGCGATCTGTGCATTTGCAAACTGGTTTACATTGCTCACATAAAGAGCCAACAAAGCGAGGAAAAGGAAGAACGGCCTGTCGGACTCTGAACTGTCTCTCCCGAGTAAAGTGTCCGGCGGACCCGTCCCGGCGAGGCGTACCGCGTGCTGCGGCGCCGACCGCCGGGCACTGACCCGCTCGCCCCGCCGGCCAGTACCACAAGGAGATGGTGCGTCTGATCACGGGCGAGCGCCGCGCCGAGGTGGGGCCGGCGCTGCTCGACGTGGCGCGCCAGTGGATCCGCTACGTGCTCGAGTACTGCCCCCGCGGCCAGGGCCTGCGTCCGCGCTGGGCCAAGGAGGGCTTCGAGTTCGTCAGCCTCTGCACCGAGCCGCACTTCACCATGCACCTGGAGGACGCCGAGTTCCAGGTCGGTGAATGGTGGGCGGCCGGTGAGGGTGCGGTGGGCGCTGAAGGTGAGGGAGCGCGGGCTGTATCTGTTGTCCGAAGCGTTTTTGCTGGGGTGTACTTGATATCTGATAACTTCGTCAGCGACCTCACTTGCAACGGACCCCGGTAACTTAAGTATGTTTGCTGCTCTGTAACTTTGTTAACAACTTAACTAACCACAGACTGCAACAGTCTCCTATCCGCACCTGCACCTCCGCGCCGATGCCTTCGCGGCTGCGGCGCGCGCCAGCGTCCGCCCTCCGCCGCCTCTCCGCCTGCCGTGACACATCTGCCCCGCTTGCAGGCGTTGCAGGCGGACGTGACGCGCTGCATGCGCCACATGCAGGGCCCGGGCTCGTGGGCCGCCTCGTCGCCGGCGGGCGGCACCCACTCGCGCTCGGCCTCGCCGGCGGACGTCAGCCGGCCTCTGTACCGGGCGTCGCGCTCGCTGCCGCCGCCGGGCGAGGCGCCGCGGCCCGGCGCGCCGCCCGCCACCCTGCCGCTGGCCACAGGGCTGGCCGGCCGGCGCGAGTCGCTCGAGCGCGGCCTGAGGTGCGTCGGGTGGCTGGCCGCAGCTGGGGACGCGGGGCGGCTCTGGTGGGTGGCACCTGGGCTCCCGTGGACAGCATTGGCGAGATCAGGGGCACAGGTGGGTGGGAGCTGGCGGGATCAGAGCTTAGGAGGATGGGAAGTGGCAAGACCCGGGGCGTTTCGGGCAGAGTGCAGGGCGACACGCGCCCGCCGTCGCCGCCAGCACGGCTGGAGCTCGCGGGACTCGGCGCTCAGCCATGCGAGCCGGCCGCGGCAGTCCGGTGACGTCTCCCGCTCCCTCCGACAGTGAGCTCGGAAGCCCGTCCGGCTCCAGCCTGAACCTGCTGCCCAGCTCGGGCCGCAGCGAGCTGGGCAGTCCGCTGGGCTCCAGCGCCAGCGGCCTCAACCAGCTGCAGGGCTCCGTGTCGCCCAGCCGGCTCTCGTTGGACGGTCAGTCGGGGTCCGCCCTCGGAGTCTTCCTGCCCGACGTGCATAAAAAATAATGTAGTCTGACACTATATATTTGTACTGGTGTTCATAATACTGAGCACGCACGTCATGCTCCAGCTGAGGGGCGTATACAAAATCGTAGCAGGTCTGTCTTGACGAGAATGTCTTGGTGTGTCCTGTGTCCAGGCCTGTCACTGATCCTGCCTTGTGTCCTGTGACCAGGCCTGTCACTGATACTGCTATGTGTCCTGTATCCAGGCCTGTTGCTGATCCTGCCATTTGCCCTGTGTCTAGGCCTGTCATCGCTAATCCTGCCGTGTGTCCTGTGTCCAGGCTTGTCACCGATCCTGCCGTGTGTCCTGTGTCCAGGCCTCTCACCGCTGATCCTGCCGTGTATCCTGCGTCCAGGCCTGTCACTGATTCTGCCGTGTGTCCTGTATCCACGCCTGCCACTGATCCTGCCATGTGTCCTGTGTCCAGGCCTGTCACTGATTCTGTGGTGTGTCTTATATCCAGGCCTGTCACTGATCCTGCCATGTGTCCTGTGTCCAGGCCTGTCACTGATACTGCTGTGTGTCCTGTATCCAGGCCTGCCACTGATCCTGCCATGTGTCCTGTGTGCAGGCCTGTCACTGATCCTGCTGTGTGTCCTGTATCCAGGCCTGTCACTGATCCTGCCATGTGTCCTGTGTGCAGGCCTGTCACTGATCCTGCTGTGTGTCCTGTATCTATGCCTGTCGCTGACCCTGCGGTTTGTCCTGTATCCAGGCCTGTCGCTGATCCTGCCGTGTGTCCTGTGTCCAGGCCTGTCGCTAATCAGCCCGCTGGAGCGAGCACGGCTGGCAGTGCTGGAGCTGGACGAGCGGCGGGACGAGCTACTTCGCGACCATCGCCGCATCGGCGCCGTCAGCGAGCGGCGCGCCGACCGCATCCACATCAAGGCCAAGACGGTCGGCTTCTCCTGGCAGATGGGCTTCCTCATCGGTGAGTCGGCCGCCGCCGCTGCCACCTCCGCCCCGCCCCGCTTCTTGCCGCCCCCTCCCTGCCCCCGCCCCCGCTCCACCGCCAGCGGCTGGTGCTGGGAGGGACTCAGGGCTCAGTCAGCCGTGCTCTGTCCCGCCCCGGTTCTCCCCGCCCCACCGCCAGCGGCTGGTGCTGGGAAGGACTCAGGGCTCAGTCAGCCGTGCTCTGTCCCGCCCCGGTTCTCCCCGCCCCACCGCCAGCGGCTGGTGCTGGGAGGGACTCAGGGCTCAGTCAGCCGTGCTCTGTCCCCCGCCGATTCACGCTGGCTGCCTCACGGGTGCAGATGACGGTTCCTTGACCTGCTGTAGCTTAGTGCGTGCAGTGGTCTGTTGGTGTCGTGGATGCCAAACCAAAGCAGATCGTTCGGCTAGTGTAGTGCAGACTGTGGTGTCTGGTCCGCCAGACCCGAGCAGACTGGCTCTATTCTGCACTGCAGTCCACGGTGTCAGTTCGTGCAGACGGAGTGGTTTGCCGACGCGGTGAAGTTAGTAATATCGGGACTGCCAGAAACAGCAGACCTGTTCCCTGTGAAGCTGTCGGTCGCTGTACTCCTGCGGATTGCTGGTTTACCAGCGACGGCTGCGGTTTCGAAATTCACGTCACTAACGAAAGCTGCAGGAGTCTGTTGCGGCGGGCGTCGGCGGCAGGACCTGGCGTTGCGACGACAGTCTGTGATGGATAGAAAATTATGAAGTGAAAATACGGTAGCACGAAGCTCTGTGACTTTTTCTTCCATTCAGCGACGAGACTTCTTTGACTTTTGAAGTACTGGACCATGAATAATACGAGCAATAAGGTACTGCGACTTTCAACGGCAGTGTTCTCGCTCCAGTGGTGCGTTGCATGTTTCGGCTGCCGGCGCCAGGTGACGCCAGCTGGCATGTAAGCGTCAGCAGGTCGGGTGGGGAGAGTGCCGTGCACAACGTATGCCTGCCTGGAGCGGGTTTCGAGAGCTTATTTCCTTGCCGCACAGTACTGTGTTGTGCCGTGCCTGTCGTGCGACGGACGCCGGGTTTTCGCAGTTGTTTATTATTAAGAACCTAGATCCAAGTTTCTTTCCGGACCAGTATGGTGCATTGGTGACCTGAAGATTTTGTCTGACAGAGATGAAGCGATATGACATGACCTGATAGGCACTATGGCGGAGTCATTTATTTTCGCTCGTCACTTAACACACCTGATGTGCCTCGCATTGCCGGTCACTACGCGGGCGATGCGAACCACGCACTCTCCGCTACTCTGGTATGGAAACAAAACGGCATCTTACATATAAGCGCTCTCATGGTTAATAGTGTGCGGGCTACGGGCTATTGTTTTCACAGACAGTTCGCTGGCGATTATTTCGGCAGTTGATCCGACACATTGCTACCAATTCTCAGGACGACCGAAAATGTGATGCGGCACGGGCGCCCACACCTAGTCGTAAAGTGCACTGGCAGTGTTAAGCTCATTAAGGAAGAGTCGAGTTCCCCTCAGACAAAGGCAGTATTGTGGCGTCCGTCAGCATCGCTGCCGCCCGCAAGTTTCACTCACTGCCGCTAGTGCGCGTGGCTGCGCCGGCCGTCGGCCGTGACCCGCCGTGTCCGCTTGATACCGGTCCGCCCGTCCGCCGTGTGTCGCCCCCCTGCCAGGGGCCTGGCCTCTCCGCGCTGTCCGCCGCCCGGCGCTGTTGGCCGCGCGCCTCGGGCGCCCCCTCCCGGCCGGCCGCTCAGTACGTGTAGCGGCGCTGCTTCCGACGCCGGTTGCGCCGCCGTCGGTTTCGACGCACGGTCTGCGTCGACGACCGACGCTGTGCCGCCGTCTTGCTGCCCTCGCCGTCGCGGCCCGAGCCTGCAGTGCACGGGCGGCGGTGTCAGGCGCCGCGCACGAGCCGGCGCAGCCCAGCCGGGGGCGGTGCGCCCTCCGCTGGGGGAGCTACACTCATCGGGGAACATGGTGAGGGCGGACGTGAGGTTGCCTGGCACGTGGCGTGTCTTTCTCGTCGAACGGCCGGATCGTGAATAACCAGTTTGGTAATGCAAGCGCTGCCGGGCAGACCATGTCGACGAGCTAGTGAAAATGGCCCATTCAGGCCCGGCCCCTACCCACCGGTGAAGACAGTGGGTTCCCGTCGTCATGGCCACATGATGTGATGCGCAGCGAGTGCTGCCAGCCGCGTATCAGGCCCGATCACGCACCGCTGGCCGCGCAGTCGCCGGTGTGACGTCACCGGCCGGCGTAAGGCCGCGTCTCACCTCTCTTGCGCGCGTCGGCGGCCCGCTGGCGATGGTCGGCCGGCCGCACCATCATCTTGGTCTTGTACAGCGAGTAGAGCGGGCCGCGCCAGTCGTACCAGTACGCCACCTGGTACTCATACTCGCTGGGCACCGGACCGTTCAGGTACAGGCCGTTCAGGTTGCTGCGGACACGGTGTGACGTTAGAGTGACGTCATCGCCGAGGGTGCGGCGGCGGGGAATCACGAGGCAGGGAAGCTTGGGCGTGCTGGGGCGACCCGACGTGCTAGGTTTTCGGTTGCTCGCCACGGTGGTCCGCCGGGGGCTGCTGAGGGGACTGGGTGCGAGAGCTCGTCAGAATGAGAGGTGATATGTCGGTGTGGACGTGGACGCCTGGCTGGCCGCGCCACAGCCAGCATGACGCGGCGCCGGCGTCCCCTCACCTAGGGCCGCTGTAGGCGGCGGGCCCGAAAACCTCAATAAACAACGACAGCAACCTCACCTGGAGTCGCAGCCCTTGTACCACCAGCCGCCCTTGTGGGCGACGGCACAGCTGTCCTCCTTCCACAGGTCGTTGTCCATGTCCTTGGTCGAGAACTTCATGCCCGCATGATACTTCAGGGAGTCACCTGTGCGGAAAGGTTGTCATTCTCGGGGGCGATGCAGTTATCCTATTGGTGTGGTCGTACTCCATGCAAGGCGCCGTTCCACACCGCTGCATGTCCGTCATGGGTCGGTCTCAACAGTTGTATGCTTATCAATGGTGGCTACAGTCGATTTGTACAAGTTTTAAGTATGTTCGTCCGAGATCCTGGGCCAGAGCCGATTTCCCACTCCCTCGCTCCAGAACATGTCGTCGACCTCCCTGCGTCAGCAGTGTTTTACCACAGCGTTGCCTCGACTCAGTGCTCGCCGTGGCTCGGCGTCCCAGCCGACGAGCGTACTCGACGGACGCAGCGTTCCCACTGCGTCTACACATCAGCGAAACCCACCGGCGTCGCCGGAGTAGTTGTCGAGGATCTTTAGTGAGTAGCCCTCGGTCTCCGAGCCGACGGCGAAGGCGGCGTAGTTGGCCGTGGCGTTGCTGCCCGAGTAGTTCTCGTAGCCGGGTCGCTCGCGCGGGAAGTCGGCCAGCTCCACGCGCAGCTCGTTCAGCTGGTGGCGGCGGCGGCAGGCCAGCGTCAGGGACGAGTCACGGCCGATTGGCGAAGACCGGCTTTTTCGCGTATTCATTGAAGCGCTTTTAAAGCCTGGGACACAGCGCAGGCCGTGTGCGTGCCGTCCGGACTCACCCACACGTTGCTCTGGGTTCCCGACATACCGAGTCGAAATACGCAGGGGTGCTTTTGGCTTCACCGATGGCGTGGTGGAGTAGGATTCTGTGTCGAAACGGATGTGTGGCGCGATGCATTCTACGCGTGTTAAGCGCAGCCCGTCTTACCCGGTGTGTGGTCAGCAGGTGGATGTTCTGGTTGCCCAGCCAGAACTCGCCGCCTAGGTTACCGAAGCCGTACTTGTAGGCCAGCCAGTCCTGGAAGAAGTCCTCCTCGCCGTTGAGCCGGCGCTGGATCACCTAAAGGTCACGGGGTCGGGTCAGCGGAACACCGGCGCTATTGAACATCGCTCGGTTGTCGCCCCGATGACCGAGGGGGGACGCGGCGCTCTTGATCCTTCGGGTCGGATCGGCCGACGGCCCCGGCTCTCGCTGTAGTCCGCCACGGCCCGGGCGTGGTCCGGCCCAGGTGCCTCCTGGGCTGGCCGCGACCACGCCGGGACGGGCACGGCCCGGACGGGCGGGAGCCGAGGGGGCCGCGGCGCGAGCACTCACCACCCATCCGCCGCCGTCCGTCTCCAGGTCGCAGTAGACGAAGATGGGCTGGAGGGCGCCGCGCGGCCGCACCTGGTAGATGCCGGACAGCCGGCCGTCGCCCGACACCTGGACGTCGGAGCAGTCGCCCGGCAGCGGGTCGCCGTCTGCGGCCGGCAGGGGGGCGTCAGTGCGCGGCCGGGCGCGCTTGCGCCAGACTTGTACGGCCGCCGTGCGCACGAGCTCGGCGGTGTTACGAAAGTACTTGCCTGCACACATGCACTATAGGTTTCGTAACGCCACGCAAAGTCGACTGTAAGAAGAGTTACACGGAATGGAACTTATCGTGCCGTACGGTGGGGCGGCGGACGAAGGCGGGCCGAGTGCGCTACCTTTCGGGGACGTGGCGGCCGGTGCCGCCTTGTGCTGGTCCAGGTAGGTCCTCATCTCCGACAGGCTGTTGGCGACAGTGACCTTGGTGGCGAAGTCCTCGGAACGCTCGCTCAGCTCGCTGCGACAGAGAGGTCTCGCTTGTCGACCGCGGTGTAAACGTGCTGATATCACCGCAGGCGCGAACGCCCCGAGGCGCCTATCCCGCCGGTCCCAGCGACTTCCCGAGCGCCGCGGGGCCCGCACACACAGCCAGCTGATGGCGGCTCATGTCTGGAGAGCGTCAGCCGTCAACGGCCGCTTATCAGCCGCTGGAGCAGAACCGCAAAACACACACCCGCTGCGAGGTCCGGTGACCACTGTGGCCATGACACGTGCCGATGGTTCCGACATCACCGCTTGTCGACGGCTTGTAGGCTACAAATTTAAGCATATTGACTGAATTTGAGGCGTCGTGTGCGTGTCGTTTACCTGGTTTGGCGGGCGGATGACGTGGTGTTTATACGTGTCTGGTGCGGCTGGGGAGTCCGCGTTGCAGTTGACGATGAAC